AATTCGACAGTTTCGTGTCATTATTGTATATTTTGTGTTCTTAAACCCTTTTTTATTATATTTTGAAATAAATACACTCATAACTTCAATGTTAATTTGTATGTTTAGTGTTGACGATAACAAACGAAAATAAATACAATAATAAGTAAATAAATAAATAATAATAATTATTAATTTAAATTTACCGCCAAAATATCTAGTGATATTTTCTGGTGATTTTTCCTAGTGTAAATCTGACTTTCGCGTTTACTCCTCCTGGTTTAAAAACAGAGTATAGGAATTAAGAAATGTAACTTTTTGAGGTTATAGAGAAACGTTTGAGGTTAGGTTGTACCAAATTTAAAGTTTATTGCGTCAACAATTTATTTTATATATATTTTAAAAGACAATCAACGTTTGTTTAAGGTATGATTTAAGAAAAAAATTATTTCTCTAAAACTATTAGGAACTAAGAAATGAAACTTTTTGAGGTTATAAATAGACGTTTGAAGTTAAGTTGTACCAAATTTTAAGTTTATAGGGTCAACAATTTATTTTATATAGTATATTTTGAAAAGCAGTCAATTTGACGTTTGTTCAAAGTATGATTTAAGAAATAAATTGTTTTCTCTAAAATTATTAGGAATTAAGAAACGAAACTTTTTGAGGTTATAAAGAAACGTTTGAGGTTAGGTTGTACCAAATTTAAAGTTTATGGGGTCAACAATTTATTTTATATATATTTTAAAAGACAGTCAATTTGACGTTTGTTCAAAATATGACTTAAGAAAAAAATTATTTTCTCTAAAACTATTAGGAATTAAGAAATGAAACTTTTTGAAGTTATAAAGAAACGTTTGAGGTTAGGTTGTAACAAATTTAAAGTTTATAGGGTTAACAATTTATTTTATATACAGTGTGTTAATTAATTATCGCACCCGACGTCATCATTGCAAGTATGCAACCAATATTACAGTATTTTTATTGCAATACGGGATTTGCGTATGATGCGTATTGCACTGTGATATTGGTTGCATACTTGCAATGATGACGTCGGGTACGATAATTAATTAACACAGTATTGGTATTGCAATACGCAATTTGCGTATGATGCGTATTGCACTGTGATATTGGTTGCATACTTGCAATGATGACGTCGGGTACGATAATTAATTAACACACTGTATATTTTAAAAGATAGTCAATTTAACGTTTGTTCAAAGTATGATTTAAGAAAAAAATTGTTTTCTCCAAAACTATTAGGAATTAAGAAACGAAACATTTTGAGGTTATAAAGAAACGTTTGAGGTTAGGTTGTACAAAATTTAAAGTTTATACATATGTTATAATCAGGAATATTAATTGTGTGTTTATTCACGAATATCAATACAAAGGGGAGATACAGATCTATACATGGCGTAATTACAATGGAATAATTACACTAATTGGGTTATGTTGGGTATAATTTCTATAAATAGGTTAATTAGTATTATTGTACTGTTATTGTAATAAATGAAACAAAACTTATCTAAATCATTAATAATATTTAATTATAATACATAAACTTCAACTTTTGATTGCACCTGTACATTTTAAGTTCCAATAAACACTAGAATCGTTTGTATGAATCGGCGCCAGTAAAATATGACTTTAACTCCAATAAATGTTTGGTGTTTTAATAAAATCTAGTGTACGGTTACTCAAAAGGGTTTATGCGGCGTCCGACAAAAGGATTCGTTTATTATTGCTCAAATAGTTTAGTAAGAGCGAGGTTGAGACGTTGTTTTCCTACACAAAAACGATAACATTCTCTGATATAGGGAGATCAAAATAAGCAATTAACGAAATAAGAAGTTGGTGAGAGAATTGTAGTACTAAATATCCCATAAATTTACTTACTAACTTCGACCCTCCAAAATCTGGGAAACAATCCGGAAAAACTTTTCTTCCGGAGGGGGTCTTTGTTTTCCATTTTCCCTTCAAAATCGCCCCTCATGCTTACGAACGGTTTAATAATGATTTATTTTATCCCCATCGAAATAACGATTTAATTGATTTTTTATTCTCTTTTCTGTTATTTGATAAACTTTCTTTTTATTTTAAAGTCGAAACGAGTACTATCATGTTTGTTGAAGAAGATTTCAATATCCCCAGTCTTCATAACGAACCTAATTCTCACCCCCTGGGTTTCTGGTCTGGTCGGCAGCAGAGGCGTCGTTGATGTCGCGCCGGTTGACATATATTCTCTCGCTCTTACCCTGTGACGTCACTAATTGTAATCATGTCGAGTCGGCCCCTTTCCTTCCCCTCAAAAAATCGCCATCCCATCCACCCTCCAATAACCATCTCAATGTCTTTTTCTCCAACAAAAAAAAAGGAAAAATCGAAGAGGGTTGTTAACCAATTGACTGAATAAGGTTTAGTTTCGTTTCAATTTCAACAAATTAAAATAAAAGAAAAAAAATCTTAAAAGAGATTTATATCTCAATATAAGTCTCCGTTTATGGTCTTAATTTGTAGTGTATAAACAGTTTTATCCTAAGTAAACATCCATCCGAGCCAAATGTAAACGTCTATGTCGTTGCGAATGGAAAGGGAGGGCCAAGAGCAATTACTTAAATATAATTAATTCCATTCAAAAGCCAAAGCCCGATATGGATATTCCGAGTTCGGGTTATTAACGGGAAAAGGGAGTCTCGTCTGAGACGTAATCAGAAAGACGCAGACGTTAATATAAAGCTATTACTATTCTATTGCGACCCCATCGCAAAATCTCGGGGGGCCGGTTGACGCTAAGCCTTCGCCCTTTTTTAAATATCATCGCCGTGTACGGCACAGTGTAATAATTTTTAAGATTTCTTCCTCTTTCCACCAAAAAAAAAAAAATAATAATAATAAGAAAATTAAAAGGAAAGTTTGATCGTTTTAATAAAAAAAGGATTTCTAGATTTTTAAGGATTTTAAAGGGTTATTAGTAATTCAAATCTTACAGTTTTTTCTTTTAATTTGAATATAGGTACGTAGAGGGAAAACGAGGAATCTCTCGAAATCTATAAAGTGTGACTATCTCCCACTCTCTCGGAGATAGTGTGAGATAGTTGCAGAAGATGTAGTTTTGATGCCAAACAGGGAAGGTGATTTTGTGAAAAATTTGGAAATCTGGATCAAAATCCCAACAAAATATGGAATGAAAATCAAGGACAAAATGAAGGCGATGACAACGATGGTAGGGAAGGAAGAGGTACAAGTTAGCATAAAGATAGCGGATGTAGAGTTGAAACAAATTAGCTTATTTCAATATCTAGGAGTGTATGTTTCTAGTTCTAGATTTTAGTTTTGATATTAGAACTAAAACTAGAACTAACACTATACCTAGAACTAGAATCATTCGGGTTCAGCCGTCTTAAGAGACGTACGACTAAACCCAAATGATTCTAGTTCTAAGTATAGTGTTAGTTCTACATAGTAATAGTACTAATGTAAAATTAGAAATATTCGGGTTTAGTCGTCTTTAGAGACTAGTGCGGCTGATGATTCTAGTTTTACATTAGTACTGTTACTATGTAGAACTAATACTATACTTAGAACTAGAAACATTCCAGTTTAGCCGCACGTCTCTAAAGACGGCTAAACTCGAATGATTCTAGTTCTAGGTAGAGTGTTAGTTCTAGTTTTACACTTGTATTTTCACTAGAACTAACACTATACCTAGAACTAGAATCATTTGGGTTTAGCCGTCTTTAAAGACGTGCGGCTAAACCCACTATACTAGAACTAGAATCATTTGGGTTTAGCCGTCTTTAGAGACGTGGGGCTAAACCCAAATGATTCTAGTTCTAGGTATAGTGTTAGTTCTACATAATAGCAGTGCTAGTGTAAAACTAGAACTAACACTAGACCTAGAACAGTGCCGGCGTCAGAAGGTTAATTTGAAAGAAAAAGTCTGAAATTGCAATAGTTATAAACTAGACTTCAGCAAAAAACAGGAATTACATTGTTCAAAGTCCACATGATTTGTCTTGTTATTGCACAAGACAGGAAATCACCAATACGGAAACTTTGCCAATGCAGGATAAGCATAAAAGCAAAGTAACAACTGCAGAAATGAGGTACCGGGTGGTACAAGATCCGTATAGATAATAAGAGGCTTCCAAAAAGATGATGACAGACACCCAGAAAGAAGTAGCTGTCAGTATTAAGAACAAAACATACATAACGTTGGCAGAAGACTAGATACTGCTCTGGAAGATTAAATAGTGTTTTCTGAAGACTAGATACTGCCGACAGGTCTAAATACAGCGTCTGCAAAAAGATAAGATATTGTTGGAGAAAACATTAAAAAGGCGCCGGCGCCCCCTTTTAGGCGGCGCCCGCGTACAGTGCACCCCTTGCACCCCCCGGTAGCGCCGCCTCTGACCTAGAACTAGAAATATTTGTCTTCAGACGAACGGCTAAACCCGAAACTTTCTAATTCTAGGTCTAGTGTTAGTTCTAGTTTTAATTGTTATGCACCGCTAGACCAAGAACTAGAATCATTTGGGTTCAGCTGTCTTAAGAGACGTACGACTAAACCCAAATGTTTCTAGTTCTAGGTCAAATGTTGGTTCTAGTGACAGTGTAAGTGTAAAACTAGAACTAACACTATACCTAGAACTAGAATCATTCGGGTTTAGTCGTCTTTAGAGACGTGCGGCTAAACCCAAATGATTCTAGTTCTAGGTATAGCGTTAGTTTTAGTTTACTACACTTTTTAGTTCTAGTTTACAGTTATTTCTAGTTCTAGGTCTACTGTTAGTTTTAATGCTGAATGTTTCTAATTCTCGATCTNATAGACACCCAGAAAGAAGTAGCTGTCAGTATTAAGAACAAAACATACATAACGTTGGCAGAAGACTAGATACTGCTCTGGAAGATTAAATACTGTTTTCTGAAGACTAGATACTGCCGACAGGTCTAAATACAGCGTCTGCAAAAAGATAAGATATTGTTGGAGAAAACATTAAAAAGGCGCCGGCGCCCCCTTTTAGGCGGCGCCCGCGTACAGTGCACCCCTTGCACCCCCCGGTAGCGCCGCCTCTGACCTAGAACTAGAAATATTTGTCTTCAGACGAACGGCTAAACCCGAAACTTTCTAATTCTAGGTCTAGTGTTAGTTCTAGTTTTAATTGTTATGCACCGCTAGACCAAGAACTAGAATCATTTGGGTTCAGCTGTCTTAAGAGACGTACGACTAAACCCAAATGTTTCTAGTTCTAGGTCAAATGTTGGTTCTAGTGACAGTGTAAGTGTAAAACTAGAACTAACACTATACCTAGAACTAGAATCATTCGGGTTTAGCCGTCTTTAGAGACGTGCGGCTAAACCCAAATGATTCTAGTTCTAGGTATAGCGTTAGTTTTAGTTTACTACACTTTTTAGTTCTAGTTTACAGTTATTTCTAGTTCTAGGTCTACTGTTAGTTTTAATGCTGAATGTTTCTAATTCTCGATCTAATGTTAGTTCTAGTGCTAGTGTTAGTTCTAATTTCCCGTATTATCCGTTATATCGAAAATTTATTGTAATGTAATCATCAAGTTATTGTAGTAACATTTTCCCATTCAATTTTTTTTTCTAATCATCGTCTACACAACACAATCGTTTTGGAAAACCGCAAAAGTAGAACGAGGACCCCGTCGGTCGACGGAAAGGGGGAGGCTGGAACTAAACCCAGAATGGCGAGGAAATTAAGTGAGCATTTAACTATTACTCCGGCGGTTCGGCGGTTACTAATGACGGCATTGTGAGAGGGCGGTTGCTTTCCGAGACCCCCAAAGCCCCCGGGGGATACCCGAGGGTCAGGGACCGACCGTGTGCCAGCTGGCGTTTTGTAGTTATTGAGGTAATTAAACGTCTGCAATTAGTGGGTAACGTTGAAGGTCGCATGATAAATTTCATGTAAATCACGTGTAAACATCATAGATTTTTTTAAAATTAATTTGAGATTGAATATAGGCGCCTCGGTGCGGTTTGGATGAGATTTTCTGAGAGGGTGGGGCTCGTTTAATTATCTTTCCGCAAAATAAATTAACCGAACGGATTCATTCAAATTTTTTCTAATAACCCTAATGTCTGGTGGCCTTGATTTAGGGTCGGAACGGGCGCCGTTGCGGCCCGTGGTAGCCGCCCCATAAATCTGATGCAATTTCGGCTCATCGTACCGGAACGCCACAATTACCGGGCCGAAGATTTATTAGTAATAACTTGTACTGATACACATAACCGTCGTCTCTAGAATGAAAATGTTACGATTCAAAACATCTAGATTATAACTAATAATTTTTTTATTAAATAAATATTTACATAAATATTTTAATGACATAACATCAACTTAAGAAATGATTTATATTTAAAGTTCTAGACAGTACGTCGCGTCTTTATCTTACCTACATAAAAAAATAAGGCGCGACGTCCTGTCTCTGAAACACACAATAAAACTCTTTGATTTTGGCACCGATAGTAATTCTGTCTTAATTGTAACCTTGACACTTTTGACGTTATTATTTAATTTTCTTTATCATCGACAGCATCAAAATAAAAATCATATAAAATGAAAAAACTTAATAGAATCGCTAAAGAATTATCACAAAGAAAAACGATTCTATCCAAACTAACATCAAAAAACTCATGCATTGTTTATATACTCATTCTTTTTTGTATAATTATTATGGTTCAAACTACGATGGTGTATTACGAAAAATTGATCGTGTGTAAGAATTTTAATAAGAATTATTAAAAAAAATATATTAAATTAGCATTTATTTTAGTTCGCTGGGTAAAAGGAAAAGGTTTACAAATTTCTATTGAAAATAGTGTAAAATATCCAAATAATAATTTTGATGGTAACAATTTTAAACACTACTTTTATTGTTTTAAACAACTTATTTTTTTAAGATAATTGTAATATCACGAAAGAAATGTTAGTTATAATATCATCTTCCCCATCCAATTTCGCCCAACGAGACGTAATAAGAAAAACTTGGGGAAATGAAAAATTTTTGGCTCCAAGATCGATAAAGATTTACTTTTCAATGGGAACTCAAACGAAATATTTGGATAATTTAAAAAACGAAGCATTTAATCATAATGATTTAATTTTATTTAATTTCAGCGATTTGGACACTAATAATACATTTAAATCATTGCACCTATTAAATTATATTTTTAATAATTCTTATGATTACATCGTAATAACATCTCAAGACGTTTATTTGAATCTTCCGAAACTATACGATTTTCTCCCAAAATGTCCCGTTGGTTTAATGATGGGTAATTTGATAATTGAGGAACCTAAAATTTATAAAATATGTGTTAACTTTACTTGCCAAATATTAAATTACACCGAACATTTAAGAGAAACTACTTACGTTGCTTCGTTAGATGTGATTAAAAAATTTTATAAAACGACTAAAATTTATAACGATGGTTCTTTAATAAAGAACGATTTTATAACAGGATTTTTACCCACTATAACAAACGTAACATTGGTGAACCACCATATGTTTACTTACATGGAAAATGTAATTGATCCGTGTATTTTGGAGAGTGTTATCGTTTCTCATAAGTTAACACCAGAAAAAATTATTGAGGCTCACGCAAATATTATAGGATTACAATATAACCAACAAATTTGTGAAGGAACCATTGTGTTTGGATCCAAAATAAATGCTAACGATTCAAGTTTACTACCCCCTATTTTCGATAAGAAGATATCTTTAGGTCCTCGTAATCCTTTTGGTCCACACATTATAATTAATTAATAATTTTATGATACACATTTTTGTACATCAATAAATATGCAAAAAGTTGAGTGAAGACTTTTTCTTTGTGGAAAAAAATTCATGCCGGTCTTTAGGTCAGATCGATGATAGGTCACGCATAACGCCAAAGGGTGTCATCCAGTTGTTCTCGTGAGAGATCCCGTCGCGATATGATCTTGAGTCCCTCCGGTTCGACATAGGTACTATCCTTTTTACCGTGAACGGATAATAATTAGCAACGAGAGACACTACGGGGGTCGTCGACGACACTGCCGGATTTCGTGGTGGAGCCTGATGACGTCGTCGTCCCCTTCACGATCAGAATAGGGTACGAACTGACTCAGCAAATTGTAGCTAGTAGGTCGAAATAGAAGTGTCAGTAGGGAAAAGAGGATTAATTATTGTCAATAATTATAATGAATCTACAATTATACTGTTAAAAAAATGTATGATATATATATCAAGGTTTCATCTAAACATGATGCGTCTGAAGATGCACGGCTAAACCCGAAACTTTCTAATTCTAGGTCTAGTGTTAGGTCTAGTTCAATATATAACATATTAATATCTTATACTAACTAGCGTTATCTACCACTGCCACTAGAACTAACACTACATTACATTACATTACATTACATAGAATACATATCGGGTAGGCGGACCAACCAACCTTGCACCGAGACCCTAAGGATCTATTGTACCCCGATAGATATCGTTATCAAATTTCACCGTGCAGTCCAATGCTCTTAACGAACATTAATACCTTGCTCGGCGAAAGGTGATTCAGATCTTTTGAGGAGATAAACTGCGACCCAAAAATCGAGAATCTGATACGGTTAGCGGCAGGGCAGTGGCATAAAACATGCTCAACCGTCTCTGCTTCCTCCGCACATAGTCGGCATTCAACATCGTTGGCTAAACCCAACAAGTTGAGGTGTGCTTTTAATCGGCAGTGCCCAGTAAAAACACCCATTAGAACTTTTATGCTACTACGGGCAAGTCCTAAAATATTCCCGGGTTTGACAGTGGCGATGTTAATAAACACCTTAGCATGTCTCATTCCAGGAGAACTGGTCCACAGTAGGCGAAGTCTCTCTTCAGCCCACAGTCCAATCCTATATTTGGCCATAGCAAATGATACACCAACTGCTGGTTCCGGTCCCACAAACGCTTCAGTGCTGCCATCTTGTGCTAGCTTATCTGCCGCTTCATTGCCAGCAACCCCAGAGTGACCCGGGACCCAGATCAGAGAGACTCTGTTATCACAACTCAGTGTGTTTAATGTTCTCTTACAATCATTAACCAGAGCCGACACCGTTTTCACGGCTTGCAGCGCCTGGAGAGCGGCTTGACTGTCTGAGAAAATTCGTACTGTCATGTTCTTCACCCCTCTTTCAAGAAGGATTTTAGCACCCATGTCAATAGCAAATACTTCCGCCTGGAATACAGTACAGTACGTACCCAGGCTGTAGGCTTGCTTAATTCGAGGTGTCTGGCAGTATACTCCTGCTCCTACCCCTTCAGGCGTTTTTGATCCATCTGTGTACAAGCAAATGTCTGCCCGAACCAGAGAATTTTCATTTTCGATCCAGGACTGCCGCTCAGGCGTACAATCTGGTATCGAGCATTAATCACTGATAGTGATACCGCCAAATCGGACGGCATTGATAGCACAGTATCAGTGCTTATAATGTCTTCCGCAGCCCATTGATAGGACATGTCGGAACAGTTTTGAGCATATTGCTTAAATCTGTAAATGGTTTTTCTAGCCACTTTCTCTATATGCAAATGCAGAGGAGATAGGCCAAGCAGAACCTCCATTGCTAGAGTTGGCGTTGTACCTATCGCACCAGAGATTGCCAATCCAGCTACTCGTTGAATTCGTGAAAGTTTGCTGATAACTGAAGTCTGTCGGACTTTCCTATACCAGGCTGCTGCTCCGTATGTGATCATAGGTCTAACCACAGTCACATAGAGCCAGTACAATCTTTCAGGGGTAAGACCCAGAACTAACACTAGACCGAGAACTAGAAACATTCGGATTTAGCCGCACGTCTCTCAAGACGGCTAAACCCGATTGATTCTAGATCTAGGTCTTGTGTTAGTTCTAGTGATAGTGCTAGTATAAAACTAGAACTAACACTAAACCTAGAACCTAGTGCGTCTGAAGACTTCTAGTTTTAGAGGTACAGCTAAACGGTACAACTAAATTTGAAGGTAGAGATAGAGATGAAACTTCTTTCTCATGAAATTACTTAAAAAAGAAAATATTCAAAATCCTCCTACAATTAATTTTCGGTAATCTTCGTATCCCTCTCGTTAGTTGAAAATTTGGTCTCCGGTCGTTAATTAAAAGAAGTGGAAAATCTGAGAGAAGTCGGCAGCTTTGGGCGGCGACAGAGCGAGGATCATATTCTTAATTTAACAAGTGACTGGTGGGCGTCGCACCCCGCCGTGACGCTAAATTGCGGCAGTTTTGCCGCCTGACGTGATAGCGCGAGGGGGGCCTCGCCGAAAATGAGGTCGCCCCCTATCGTCGTCGAACGATCGCCGACGCGCCGTTTGAGTGAACTCGGGCGTCCTTTATAAATGGATTTTATCAATTTTAAAAGCCGCCGGTTGATTTACGCCCCGGCTACGTATTAACGTGTGCAAGGAAAAGGGGGCGCGGGCGGCGCGTCCGCCGACGGAAGTCCCCAACGGTAATCCACCCGTCCGAAGCCGCGTCATAAAACGAAATTGGACATACGTTTAGCGATAAGCTACAAGCTGGATTGTCTTCTTCGATATTGAATGGGCACGGGAAGAAAAACAAAGCTTCAGTTTAATGGATAAAAACGTAGTTGTGGTAATAAGAGGAAAATTGAAACGCAATTCACTTTTCGTTATTATTAAATAAAATCATGGTCGATGAGGATAAATATAAGAACATGATCAACACATTGTGAATATAACCTAATTAATTAGTTGATAAACACGATTAAGAAGGATGAAATGTTTTTTTATTCTGACCAATAAAAACCAAAGAACTACTTGTTATTATGAAATGTTCTATTTTGTACTGCGTATATGTAGAATAAAATAGAAAACACATTTCTTTTATACGATTTTTTTATTCTTTAATAAATTACTGCATCCTTTATGACTAATTTTGGGCCTTTCAGAAACTTTTTCATAATCTCTTCACACATCATTTTAAAGCAGAGATTTCAATCTTTAATTTGAACCTGATTTTTTGAATTTTTTTTTTGATCTCAAAATATATTATTATTTAAGTGAAAATTTGTGGTTAAGTGAAAACGAATGATGTTAAATGGTAAGCTGGTTAAAGGTTCTGTCGCAGTAAATATCGATTTGGACAGCATAAGAGTGTCGCTTGGTCCGATTTGGGAAATATTTGTCACACTTTAGTGTTCTTTTATCGAAGTTCCAACCGTGGATATCGTAAAGCAGTGGCACCAGTAGAAAGTGTCGGCGTTTATTGCCTAGGAGAATCTAGGGCCTTTAAGGTCTTCGGGATGTTTACCCTTTAACGTCATCGCTCGTATCTCCTCGATTCAACGTTATCTAGACCCACCTATCAACCCCTCTTCATCAATCTTTTACTATATAGATTTAGATATAAGTTAGCGCAACTTACAAATTTATTAACTTTTCGTTTTCGTACAATCTCTGATTTCCTCTAAATCAATATCTATATATATCAGAAGAATGCACCGCGGATCCCCCAAGAAGAGATCGGATTTAGATCTCGAACAATAAGGAACAAATAGAGCGTGCATTTCGATCGGGCGAACTCAATAAAACAAATCCCATCTGCGGGATGGGTTGGTTTTTTGGAACGGGGGGAGGTGGGCTGATTCGCCTCGTTCTCATCCCCTAGAGTCCTAGAGGGTGGACAGTCGCCACCACAACCGCCTCCAACGCCGCGTAATAAATGTCCGAGAACGCAAAATACCCCTAGCAACATTTGCGAGTAACTGCCTGCCGAGGCGGCCGTTTTATTATATGCGGAAACAGTAAAAAAAAGACCGTGTTTGCCACCGAAATGGGTGGACCAAGGACGACACTGCGTGGGGAATAAAAAAAAATCGAAATTAGATAACTTACAGGGTGTTTAAATTTATTTTAATAACACCTAAAATAAAGAAACCAATTGATTAAATTTTTTTGATTAAATTTGATTAAGAAGTAGAAAGTATTCTCAAAGAATGAGTAAGCCATAGATAAAGTTGAACCACCCCGTATATCGGAAGACGCATCTAATTACGTCCCATCGGCTGATTATGGCGGTGTCGAGGCCATTTCGAGACCCTCTCCCGTAACGATACTGCTTTGGAAATTCGCCTCGTCCGGCACGGCCCCATTCGCGTATTGTGTATTCCGCCCTCCAAGGGAGCAGGGGTCTGTTCGGGGCCACACTGCCGTCTTATCTCCGGTCATAGGTGGCCCCCGGACTATTTATTGACTGGACATCGGCCATAAAATATCTCTTCCTAGACGGCGTGCCATCGTAGGACATTATGTCCCGAACAGTGCCGATCGTAAAAAGTTAGCGACGTCCGTACTCAATATTCCAGGATTGTACTAAATCTTTTTTCTCTTTCGTTTCCATAAATAACTTTATTTTCATTATTGTAAAAAACCTCGATATAAAGGACCTTATTAGAAACATATGTATCATGATTGTGCGTCTAAAACGTACGGCATAACCCAAAAATTTCTAGTTTTAGTATTATTTCTAATGCTGAATGATTTAAATAAAAGTTAGGTTAAGTTGAGAAAAATGCACAACATAATTTTTACAACGCAATAATAACTAATTACAAAAATTGAATGTACTTACTCTGCGTTAAAAACGGATCTTCCAGCTTCATTTAATGCGAAAATTGATTAATATAATCGTGATAATTATTATAAAACTTTATCTTGATGCAACAAGTGATTTTTTTAAAGATGTCGGTGCTTATTGAGAAATCACCATGGTAACGGCAGATTGACAACTTTTGAACAAAAAATTATTTTAGTCAAAACATTTTCATATGAGTTTCATAGACTTTTCTGTCGATGTAACGTCTGTGATGCACGGCATAACCCGAAATTTTCTAGGTTTCTAGTTTTAGTTTTATTTCTAACGTAAAATGAGTTTTTTAATGAAACGTTAAAAATGACACTTCAAAAAAACGCATAGGAGATAACGCCATCTGTCGGGAAAAGTCTGAAAATGTACTTTTGTAACTATCTTCTCATCATGTCAAATATTTTAACACGTAATTTAAAACCACGAGAAACGAGAAATACTATTAATTGATTTTTTTATAACGTAAAACGTGAACGAGTGACTAAAACGAACTTCTATGACGCAAATTTCTTTTTAGTTTCATTTCAAAAACTAGGTGAGTAAAAATTTTTTTAATGAAACGTCAAAAAAATGTCATTTGAAAAAGTGAGGTTAGGTTGTGTTGGAAAAGTGAGATTAGGAATCCTCAACATAATTTTTTAGCACAGCTTTAAACTAACACTGCCGTTTTCTTAAATATAGAAATGTGTTTGTGCTTAATACGGTTCTGTTACCATAGTTGACATCGTATCGAAAATCAGCAATGGGAGATCGCTGCGAACTATACTGATACAAACGACGGCTTTATCTCGGGGAGAAAGCACTGTTGGATGTCGTCTTCGGGGGGTGGAAACGCATCGCCACTTACCCTCTCAGTTTTTTTATCAAACTTCTTTTTTTTTCTTGTCTTGCCCGACGACCAAACCACTCTTTGGAGCGACCGTGCGGGTGACGTTTATCGGACATAAAGACGGTATAATTCCCCGATTTCGTCACCTTGACCATTACCAATAACTAATAGGGGCCGACATTGTCGGGGGGTGGCCGTTTTAACGACCCGCCACCAACGATGCTTTACCAACTGATCCGTAAAAACCTTTGAAAAAGAAAAGAAATGTTTTAAACCGTTCCTACGATCTTTATGCTTCAATCAGTTCCAATCATTTTGTTCAAAAAAAAAAAATGCATTTCATACAACATTTCCTCTCCTCGAAAAAGAAAAAAATCCATATCCATCACGTCTCTTTCAGTATTCCAATCACCCCACAGGACTATATCCGACGGTTTCGGCAAATGCAGTTACTAGACGTCCTCGGACGCACGGAGCATCTTAATTCGAAATGCCCAACGCGAACGATTCCGCTCATTATCTCCACCCTCGTTTAACCAAGCAGCAGCAGGACGGGAGATCTTCCGACTACCGCAATGAAAATGTGGTCACTTAATTGATCGCGACATCGTTTAAGATAACCATGGAAATGGTCGCGGCCGTTATTTTGACTCTATCGCTTAGTTTCTGCTTAATGGATGACTTGGGGAAATGTGTGGGGAAAAGGGGCTTTGTGCGAGAAGGTGCGGGCACCGATGTCTGTATTCTACGCCCAATTAGACGTGTGAAGAATGGTAAGAATGGGGGAGGCGAATCCTGCATTGATTTTGAAAGGGAAAATATAAGAATAAAATAAGGAAATTTACCAATATTTTCGAATAAAATATAACAAAATTACACACATGATTTGCCTTAAAAGCGTCGACAGGAAAGCGGCGTAAAATTGTTCTCGTAAACAGCGTAGTTATCTATGCAGTCGACGTAGTCAGAGAGTAAAATGGAGACAATGTGCAACAAGAGGAATCGTGTGCTAAACCTTGAGAAACTATGTCAAAGGAAGCTTCTGTGTGAGATGAATGTGGAGTGGTCAAGGGTGATGATGTTGATTCGGAGGAATAAAAGAATGGGTTTTCAGTGTACTGGATATTTGTAAATCCTGTAGTATATGGGAAAGATGATTGCAGATTCCGTAACTACTTTGAAAATGGTCAATTTCATTCGGGTGGCAAGATCAGGTCGAAATATTTTCACATTGTTTGGAAAAACATGTTAATTTCATCTTCTTGAGGTTCTGGACGATTCATAAGTTTTTCCATATCTTGTAGTCTCTCTGACAAATATTTCTGGAGAATAATTGACTTTGACCATTTGTAGATGGTGTGGAAGTTCCATTTTTGGAAGAAGATCCCTTGGAGAGATGAATGCTGTGCGATTACTCAGGTAGATCATTTTCCTGATGTTCAACGATGAACATGACCTGCAGTCTGGAACCCTCAGATTTGAAATGATTCTTATCTTCATCCTAAAACCAAAGATGTGGAGGTTAAACTTATTGCCAAAAGTTTTCAAATAACTTTCTAAAATAAGGTAAAGACATACTGGTTTATATCAAAGAAGTTTACTTAAATCAATTACCTTCTAAACGATCTAACTAACTGCCCCCAAAGATTTCATATGTGAGTTCAGCCCCCTCAATATATATAAAACTATAAATCGTTTAGTGGCGGTCCAAGCAAAAACTACCCTATGTCCGATTTTATTGGCATATTTATGACAGCTAAGAAAAGTTCTTCTATGGGGGTTGAGGAGGTGGTTGTAGTAAGGGAGCTTCGTTGCGAAGCCAGAATTGAATCGAGGGGCAATGCAGATTGACCGACAATATACATATCGAGCAGCACATGTCACGGAAATAAATAACGCCAATATGCGCGGGGTTCGCCGTCATCGTGGAAGCACGTTCCGGCGCCACCTCGTGCACGGACGCCCACGGAAATTGGGGGGGCCCAAAGCCGGTGCAGCGCCGTTATAAGGCTATTTTGTGGAAGGGCCCCCTGGTTTTTAAAGTTTTCGCAGTTCATTGCCTGAACCCGGTCGGAAGTTCCCTCTTTTTTCTTCTCCTCGACATCAACTACATCGAACAAAAAAGGGGACGGTACCTGTCTAGATTTACTAGACAATTTGCGTTCCCCTTAAACAAAAAGGATAACTGTTATTTAAAGAAATCGTTTAAACCCAATAAAAATGCTAAAAACTGGGGGTGTCATCTAAATCAAACCTTATCGTTTCGCGACAATCTTTAATAATGAAACGAATATAGAGGAACACCGCGACTTTGGTGGGGGTTGTCTTCATTTCCCGGTTCTTGGTATCTGCGCCCTCATCTCAACTCATGAATAATTCACGGGGTTTTTGGAAAATACCGCAATACATTATACGCGCCACAGTTTCGGCGTTAAAACGGAGATATTCAAGAGGACGTATTAATTAAACTTGCTGGTCCAGTGGAGGCTGTATCAGTTTGTAGGAGTGAGAAGGATGTCCTGTAACCATTAATCACTCGCTCCGGTGCTGACTGGTGCAACTTAATCCACGAACACTTGTCGGCTTAATATACTAAACGAACGTGGAGGGTGGGTTTAGAAATGGAGGGCGTCCTGAAGCTTCAGGAAACCCTCCGTGTCTGTACAAACTATTAACAGGCAGAAAGTTACTAACGCGTGTTATAAATCGTTCCCTTAAAGGTGAAAGTTATTAATGAATCAACTTGTTTTTCCAAACCCGTTGGGGGTAAAGTGGTGATAGATTATCTTCTTATAAGATAAATTTTAAAAGTTATTTTTTGGGATGATGTAAAGAGGGTTGTATCGATAGATTTCTCTTTTTCTCGTTATTATTCTCCGGTCGTGTCCGACGTGTCCATCATCGGTAACGCAGACCGCAGTCGACAAAGGGAAATGGAACGGGGCCACTTAACCACGGCCCAAGACTTGAGATCGACCCTAGCGAATCTGTCAAGAGCCGTAAAGGGTGTTGCGATGAAGTGCCTAATACAATAACGGTTCAGAACAAACCAGGCATAAATCGAAAAAAAGAAGAGGTTTTTTTCAAACTACTCCCAATGGCAAACATCCCTTCCTTCATCTACGACCTAATAATCCCTTATGACCAGCAAATAAGATCAAGATTTTACAGTCCTGTCAATCCAACGGTGGCCGCACCCCAAGGAGCAATTCCTTTTTTTTTCTCCGGTCACTTACCGCCGTACGGCGCCGCCTCTTTTCCTCCTCTTTTACTTCGGATCAGAAGCGTTGGACGTCGTAAAATCCCGGCTCGACCTCCGGTGATTGGATTACGTTTAGAGGGCAATCTCATTGACGACCGCCGTGGGACTGTTGAGCTTTAATGACCTGGCGCGACAAATCGAGCTTCGATTCCCCCGAGGGTGCAACGGCGCGTCGCGACGCCTCACGGCTCACCAACACCACAAGCGACAGATGGAAAGATTCCTACTTTAAAGGAGGAGCGCAAACCATATTTCCCAACTCTATAGAAAATTTTTCCTCCCGCACACAAAACGGAAACTATTGATTTCCTACATGGATAAAATTACGCGATCGGTTTCCTTTCTTTTCTTTTCGTTTATTCCATCACGCCGATCAAAATTCAAGGCACGATCTTTACCCCGGTGTCGAATCCATAATCAACTGACCGCTTCCTGGATCGTGATGAGACGACCGTCGGCCTTACATGTGCAAATCCACCCCAATCGGCGACGAAACCTCCATGTCGCAACTTAAGAACTGACCGTTTGATATCTTTCGACTTTTCCCCACGTTGATTCAGGACAAACAAACAAACTGCGACCGGATAACGATCTCCTCCAGATCGTAACTCACTCCCTACGTGCCCATACATCACCAGAAACCCAAAAATTTTCTCTTTCTAAAATTTCGAGTTAGTTTTTTATTTAGTTTCGTTTCAATACCGACCTGATCGTTTGTCCCCAAGAGATATATCAACCCAACCTTCCGTTATATTTAATTTGTCCTGTCCCAAGCAGATTATAAATATTCGATTCATATAAATCTGGAGCCCACATAAATCTCTCGAGGGTGGCGGAGGGATGCGTCGCCCGTTGCCTGACGGAACCGTTCCCGCAGGAACTCCTCGCGAAGATCTGGAACAGGAAGAGAGGAGATACACTTTGTTTAGCCTAATCCGGGATCCACTTCAAAGAGAGCGCCGAATCGCTATATATGAACTCAATCAGTTCGGAATGTGGGTTTCTTCGGGTAAATAGTCGAACGGGGTGCACGGGATCGATATCGCTTTGGGATAGGGTAAGCGACTATACTCACTAAACGGTTCATTTTGTGGCGAACACAAAATATCTAAACCAAATTGTTCTACAATATATAATTGTAATTGCAATGAAACCTCGATATATTTTTATTGAACTAAAAGTAGAACTAAGAACTAGAACTAGAAGCATTCGGATTTAGCCGTACGTCTCTTAAGACGGCTAAACCCGAATGTTTCTAGTTCTAGTTTTAGTTCCACTTTTAGTTCAATAAAAATATACAAGAATCTAATGCTCAATAACTATTAAAACTAGAACTAACACTATACCTAGAACTAGAATCATTTTGGTTTAGCCGTCTTTAGAGACGTGCGGCTAAACCCAAATGATTCTAGTTCTAGGTATAGTGTTAGTTCTAGTTTTATACTTGCACTCTCACTAGACGGATAAACTCGTATGATTCTAGTTCTAGGTATAGTATTAGTTCTAGTGAGAGTGTAAGTGTAAAACTAGAACTAACACTATACCTAGAATTAGAATCATTCGGGTTTAGCCGTCTTTAGAGACGTACGGCTAAACCCAAATGATTCTAGTTTTAGGTATAGTGTTACTTTTACATATACAACTGATGTATTAAGGCCCAATTTTACCACCTCTTGATAAATTTAACCGATAGATAAATTGGCGCTCTTAGGCCCACTACTACCACTCATAGTTAAAGTCTCTGATAGCGTTATCTATCGGATAGCTTAAAAATTGGGTACTACCACTGTATTTATCTTATAGATACCGCTATCCAAGAGATATCTTTTGAAATATCTGTAACCCGTGGATTGGGTGTGGGATAAGTTGCTATCTAAGGGATAACTGCGGATACCTAGATAGCAGAGCGTTTTACTATTTCAGTTAAAATAAGAAAAGTAATATAAACTTAAATAAAAAACTATTAATAATTAAGATTAGATAAAATCATCATGGATAATTTCTTCGACATTAGAGATGGAGAACAAATTTTTGAAGAAATCAACGAATTATTTCCTATAAGAAGCGAAAGGATAATAAGTTGACCATTTAAATATTCATTCGGATGTTGAATTTATGACGAGATTTCGTCTCTCGAAAAAAAGTTTTCATCACCTTTTGAATCAAATAGAAGATGTAATAAAACCTCCATCCATGATGTAAGCAATTTGTTGATTGCTATTATTTAATGTATTTAATGTAAAATTCATCAAAATTTTAGTAATAATGTTATACCTCCTTCAAACCGTTTGTTGCTGACTCTTCGGTTTTATGCAATAAGTAACATGTTGCTATCCATAGCAGATTTTGCAGGAGTGAGTGTACAATTGGCATCTTCAGTCGTTCATCATGTTAGTTGTGCCATTATTGTTTACCATCACATTTTAACATACAATAACACGAGATATACATACTTTTTGCTTTCCTTGCCATGTAACTGCATCACTTTTTTTGTTTTCTATTACGTTTTTATGTTTGATAACAAATTCAAGAAGATGTTCGCATTCCTCTTTGATGAAATTGGTGATTCGACGCCTTTTCTCAGTCTCCATTTCCAAATTTTAATTTTAAGATTTGAACAGGTTAGAATATCGTCAAAATACCTAATAGTAGGTCTTTTCACCACATAGAGCTGTCAATTTAACATAATAGACCAAAAAATACCTAGATTCCTTGGTTATCTCAAGGATTTCTTAACTATGAGATAAATGAAGGTGGTAGTACGCACGACCCTGTTATCTACGAGATAAATTGTATCTTATAGATAGCTTAACTGACAGATAGCATTGGTTTGGTAGTAACGGGCCTTAACGAATGAGAGCGCTTAAAACCGCTGTAAGTATGGTAATTATCTATCGGATAAATTTATCAAGAGGTGGTAAAAGTGGGCCTAAATAGATATAATATTAATAGTATGACTTAAAAATATTTGGTCCGTTATATCCGAAATTCGTTCTAACGAGGTTTTACTATAATATTTTTTTATTATTATTACTAAATTTAGGTAGGAATAGTAAAAGCGTTGGTGTGGTTTTGTAAAAGTGTAGACCTCGCTCCAGGACCTTTATAGATTTATAAAATATGCTGCCTTTGCACTTTCTCTCGACGTCGAGCTCCTCGACCGGGTGGCGCGTTCCAGGGAGAAAGGACCCCGCGCCTCCTCTGCCCCATCCGACGGCACTAAACCGATATCAGATCGTGTCGGACAGAGATTCAGCCCCCCGACGACCGCCCTTCCCCCATAACGGACCGATAAGTGTCCGTCGCTCCGACCTCGGCATACACGCGTCTCCCGTCTCTCATTAATATGCATAAATTGACACTGGGTCAACACCGGGGGCACCATTTGCTGCCGCCTCCACCCCCTTCGTATTAATGCAAAAAACCTTTGAATGCTAATATGTTGACACGGAGGCGGCTATTTGAACATGGAAATCGGCCCGGTCTGACCACGACTGACCAAAATTCGACCCGAAGGAGATTACGCCAACCGGCCCCAAAACGTATTTATGGGTTTGCGTTGCGGCTTGCCTGTCGGTGAAGCCCCCCGAAAACCCGCAGAGATAGTGACGTGTTTTATGCTTTTAATTATAGGCGAACGAGCGCAGCCCCGCTTAATGCGATTTGATAAGCCGCTCGACCGTTTTCCAACCTACCATAGCAAAAAACGTGTTAAATCATACGTGTTTGAGCACGAAATCGCAATTGATTGTACCATTCCCTACTATGCGAACTTTTTGGAAAACCCCCCCATTAAAACACACCACATTATTTCATCCCACTTAATATTTTATTACGCAAAATAAACATCGAAATTGTCACTACATCGTAATATAACGTCTTTTTCATCGATAAATTTCTTTTCAACATCATCTCTTTCCAATCAAACGATTTTAACTCATAAATTATAAGCGGTTAAGAGGTAGGGTATAAAATTATGGGGAATTTTCAGGATCCGCCCTTCGCGTGCCTCTACATAAAGTACTCGAAAATTGATTTTCAATTACCAGACGGAACCGCGGCGTGATGAAACGGGAAAAAGCTGGGGAGCACGTCCCGCACTCTCGAGACTTACCCCTCATCCCCCTTCATCTTCAATCAGCTGTGCTCAATCAGTAGCTTTCCGTGTGTTTTATGAAGTTATAAACACTGATTGCTCTGACTACAACACACAAACTACACTTAAAAAAAAGTTTTTGGTGATGAAGTTGAAAATAAAGATTCTAGGTCAAACTTATCTTATTATTATCTGAAGTTATTTAGAATCAAGACTAAAAATAGATTCAAAAATTCTGTTCAGTCTATGTTATTATATTGATTTAGAAATGATATGCTTGGCATGTTGGGATGCCTAAATTCAGAAATTATTAGACTCAATAGCTAAGATGCATATTGAAACTTACAATTTCAAGATTTTTATAATCGCGATAAGGAGCAGAGTCCCTCGTAAATAGTGAAGACTTATCGCAGCATATATGAGCTGTAGCCAACCCATTTATCGCAGCTTTGAGCTTAGTATGAGCGGTGCGGATATTGACCAAAAATAGCCAAAGAATTTAATTTCGTAAATGTTTGGAAACGCCTAATTCAGTAATAAATGGGTAGCCAGAGTTATAGAAAATTTAATGCAAGTTAAAGATGTAAAAACTTCAAAAAATCACTCCGCACTTATTTTTAAAAGTTAGATAATCATTTATGTGACAAATTGAAGATTGAACCTTCTATTTTAAGATGGTATATGGTATATAAGATGTTTGATTAAGAAAATTTGTAGAAAAAAGTGTTTGAGTTAATATTGTTGAAATTAGGTTAAGTTTGAAACTATACAAAAAGTTTTGAATTAGTGTTAAAGAGTTAGAAAAGGATTTATATCTCAAATTAAAGATTAAAGCTTCTATTTTAATAGGATATATAATACATAGTACGTTTGATTAAAAAAATTTTTAGAAAAAAGTGTTTGAAGAAATGTTGCTGAAATGATGTTAATTTTGAAAAAAGTAAAAATTTCATAAAATCACGCCAAGCTTATTTTTAATAGTTAATAAACGATTTATATCTCAAATTGAAGATCAAACCTTCTATTTTAAGATTTTACATGGTATATAAGATGTTTGATTAAGAAAATTTTTTGAAAAAATCTGCTTGGAATTAGGTTATGTTTGAAATCGTTAAAAAATCAAAAACTTTATAAAACCACTACGACCTTATTTTTAAGAGTTGGAATACGATTTATATCTCAAATTAAAGATTGAAGCTTCTATTATAATATGGTATATAATACATAGTATGTTTGATTACAAAAATTTTTAGAAAAAAGTATTTGAAGAAATGTTGAAATTAGGTTAATTTTGAAAAAAGTAAAAATGTCATAAAATCACGCCAAGCTTATTTTTAAGAGTTAAGAAACGGTTTATATCTCAAATGGAAGATCAAACCTTCCATTTTAAGATTTTACATGGTATATAAGATGTTTGATTAAGAAAATTATTAGAAAAAAGTGTTTGAAGAAATGTAGTTAAAATTAGGTTAAGTTTGAAATTGTGAAAAAATCAAAAACTTTATAAAATTATGAGCTTATTTTTAAGAATTAGAAAACGATTGATATCTCAAATTGAAGATTAAAGCTTCTATTATAATATGGTATATAATACATAGTATGTTTGATTACAAAAAATTTTTGAAAAAAGTATTTGAAGAAATGTTGAAATTAGGTTAATTTTGAAAAAAGTAAAAATGTCATAAAATCACGCCAAGCTTATTTTTAAGAGTTAAGAAACGATTTATATTTCAAATTGTATATTAAAGCTTCTACTTTAAGATGGTGTATGATATATCGGGTGTTTTATTAAAAAAAATTATAGAAAAAAGTGTTTGAAGAAATGTTGTTAAAATTAGGTTGTTCTCCTAAAATTAGAGTTAAAATAGGATAGTGATGAAAATAAATGAAAAGCTTTTTTCAGGAAGCTGGAAATATAAAAGAAACACCAAAAAGGTTTAACAAATCCTGTTATACATCTCCTCTTAGAACTGCACAAGTACCTGATGTAACCATAATCTTGTATGCGGGAATATATGTTTTCTTTTCAGGATATGTGCAATTTTAGTATTATAGGCCAGTGAAGAACGATCGATTTTCTTTCGGTTCCAAATCAGGCCAAAGCCCTCTAATCTATCGGCGCTTGTACCGGGTCAATTGAAACGGTGGGGTGACTCTCACAAAACGGGGCGAAAAGCTTCTGTTCCCAAAAAGGGCTTACTTTACACTACTAGGGTAAGGTTAAGGTTGCAACAAAAAAACCTTAATTAATTAATTAATTATAATACATCAACTTCTCGTTATTATTTCTCCTTAATAATATTTAATAACATAATACAAATTGCTTTATTTCTCTTTGCAACAATGTTGTTTGTAGTGGACAATAGAGCGTTTCATTCATTTGGTTTTTATGTATGTATTGTTTATCAACGTGGAGTGATGGTGGTGTGTCCACGTGTATTTGTACTTCCGTAGGTATTTCGCTTTGAGTATGTGTGTGTTAGGAAAGGGTACTCCGTTGACAAGGTGACATGAAACGTCGAATCAGCATTCCCGGTGTTGGCTGGTGGCCCCCCTTTGTGCGTGGTCACCCCGCCGCACCGTTTTCCGACACGGGAAAAGCGCCCGTAGATGGCGCAACGATCGCATGCGCCGTTTGTAACTGTACACCCAGACGAAAGTGGCGCGCGAGGCGTCGAGGAAATTACGTCAGCGTTATATTAACCGTTCTCGGTTAATTTTTTTACGTGGAAAACCACCACCCAACGATAAATAGTATTATATTATATTCCAGTTGTTACAATGTATCAGTATTTTAAACAAAAAAAAAAGAGATGAAACTCGTTTCTTGGAATATTATAATTAGAAATAAAGCCGTGATAATATGAAGAAAAATTGTATGGAAGAAATAAATACTTAGTTTGATATAAAAAAAAGAAATACTATGTTAGAATGATAATCTTTTTTGTTACTCTACTTAAGTTTCATTGTGATTCTTTTTTTGTTTAAATGTGTGCGTTAAGCAAAAATGAATAAATCCAGGCGCGAAATGTGGCGTTTTGTTTATGGTAATTTAATGTTTCATCAGGTCAATAACCAACCCGATTAATAATAATTGCGCAGTATTTATGTACCTACTTATTTTATTTGATTTTTTTTTCATTATTAAAAAAGAATTTTTCTCATTTTTATATATTATTTTATGCAAGTGGATAAGATTTACTAAAATATGTAGTTGCATTGTGTTGCCAAAGGTTGCCAAACTTTTTGAACCTTAGTTGATGATTAAGTGCTCGAATCCGTGGGATTCCCCCATGAAGACGACATAATATCAACAGAGGTACTCAAAAACTAAAAATAAAGGAGAAAGAGATTGTGCATATAAATTACTTATTATGATCTATAAAGTCATAATTAATATCCAGAAATAGCTCAGTTCTGACCATATTCTAGTTGGAAAGTGAAAATCCCCAGAATATCAAAATTGATGATTTTGGTTATTAAATCCAATCCTAACTCAAAAACTAAATGCCATAAAGAAAAGGGGTTTCAACATAAATTGCTCATAATAAGCCAAAAAGGCATGATTCATAATCAGATTAAGCTTAACTATACAAAGCTTGTATTTAAAAATTATGAATTGTCAAAATATGAAAATTGTTGATTTTCGTTAATAAAGTGGATCATAACTCAAAACCTAAAAGTTATAGAGAAAAATATTGTTCATAGAAATTGTTTATTATGATCTATAAAGACATAATTAATACCCAGAAATAGTTCAATTATGGCCATATTGTAATTAGATAGTGAAAATCCCTAGAATATCAAAATTGATGATTTTTGTTATTAAATCCAGTTAATTCAAATACTAAAAGCGACAGAGAAAAATGACTTGGACATAAATTACTCCTAATAAACCAAAAAGGCATAATTCATAATTAAATTAAGATTAATTATAAACATTTTTTAGTTAAAAATTGTAAATTACCAAAATATGAAAGTAGTTAATTTCCGTTAACAAAGGCGATTAGAACTCAAGAGCTAAACGTAATGGCGAAAAATATTGTGCATAAAAATTGTTTATTATGATCTAAAAGATAAAATTTATATCCAGATCTAACTCAACTATAAACAGATTTTAGTTAGAACGTAGAAATGGCCAAAATTGACGGTTTTGGATAATAAGTTCAGTCAAAACTCAAAAATTAAAAGTAATGGAGAAAAATATTTTGCATATAAATTACTTATTATGATCTATAAAAACATAATTAATATCCAGAAATGGTTCAATTATGAAAATATTCTAGATAGGAAGTGGAAATCCCAAAAATATCAAAATTGTTGGTTTTCGTTAATAAAGTTGATCATAACTCAAAAACTAAAGGTAATGGTGAAAAATATTGTACATATAAATTGTTTATTATGATCTAAGAAGACATAATTCATATCCAGAAATAACTCAGCTATAATCATATTCTAGTTAGAAAGTGAAAATCGCCAAAATATCAAAATTGACGATTTTCATCATTAAATTCAATCCTAAATCAAAAATTAAAAGTAATGGAGAAAAACTTTGTACTTACAAATTGTTTATTATGGTTTAAGAAGACATAATTCATATCCAGAAATAGTTCAGTTATTACCATATTCTAGTTAGAAAGTGGAAATCCCCAAAATATCAAAATTGATGATTTTCATCATTAAATTCAATCCTGACTCAAACTTTAAAAGTAATGGAGAAAAATGTTGTACATATAAATTGTTTATTATGATTTAAGAAGACATAATTCATATCCAGAAATAGCTCAGTTATGGCCATATTCCAGTTAGAAAGTAGAAATCGCCAAAATGTCAAAATTTATGGTTTCAAGACTAAATTCAGTTTTAACTCAAAAACTAAAAACGATAGAGAAAAATGATTTGGATGTAAATTGTTTATAATAAATCAAAAATATATAATCCATAATCAGATTAAGCTTATTTATAAAAAAAATTTTGTTAGAAACTGTAAATCGCCAAAATATGAAAATTGTTGATTTTCGTTAATAAAGTTGATCATAACTCAAACACTAAAAGTAATAGAGAAAAATATTATGCACATAAATTGCTTATTATGATCTGTAAAAACATAATTAATATCCAGAAATGGTTCAATTATGACCACATTCAAGTTAGAAAGTTAAAATCCCCAAAATATCAAAATAGACGATTTTCATCATTAAATTCAATCCTAAATCAAAAATTAACAGTAATGGAGAATAACTTTGTACATACAAATTGTTTATTATGGTTTAAGAAGACATAATTCATATCCAGAAATAGCACCATATTCTAGTTAGAAAGTGGAAATCGCCAAAATATCAAAATTAATGGTTTCAAGATTAAATTCAATCTTAACTCAAAAACTAAAAACGATAGAGAAAAATGATTTGGATGTAAATTGTTTATAATAAATCAAAACGATATAATTCATAATCAGATTAATCTTAACTATAAAAATTTCTTGGTTATAAATTGATTTTTATGGCTGTTTAATGGTTGTTTATAATTATCTAAAATAATTTCCGGTATACTTAGTTTATGAGAGAAAATGTATGATATTGTTAAATTAAAATGAAACGTCATAATAATTCATAAATAAAATCTGTTCACATATTAATTAAAATATAACTCAATCAATATATGAAGCCTCAATTAATTTCCTTAATTATCAATTATCATATTTGTACACGATATAATTAGTAATTGTTTAATTTCCCCAATTAATTATTTATTGATTCGGCTCTGTTTTCGTTTACAAAATCAATATTTTCTTTTTTTTATTATTATTATTATACACATAACACATCCAGCGGGAAAGATAATTTATTGTTATTGAACCCAATTTTCATTTAACCACATCGATATCTAAATTTAAATTGGAATATTTCGATTTTGTATGCAACCGAAAAACATTTTAACCGATATTAGTATTTTAAAACCCAATTTTAACAAAAACGAAAACGTGATAATCTAAAAACATTTATATTAATTTGTTTACAACGATATTTTATCTCCCATCTATTTCGGGTGTTTACTAAATCAGGAAGTAGAATCAATTAGATAATTACGCAATTTTTTTGTTGTTGTAATTAAAAATTAAAATTTTTTAAAGAATTTGTTTTTGGATGGGGGGAAATTAATAATCTGAGCACTCAATATAATGAACATTGCGTCATAAAATCGTGATGATATGGCTTGGTGGGGAAAATTATATCCAGCCAATGGGGCGCCGGGAAATTCGCCATTGGCGATGGGCGTCGCGACGCCGCATTTGATGTTGTTCCGCCCAAAATTAATTTTTATGATCTTTTTTTAAATCAAATTAGGAGAAAAAAAATTAAACCATATTTTCTATTCTAAACCATAATTTATTTTTCGTTTAAACTCCTATTATGTACAATTAAGATGGTTTCGATGTTCTTTTTTAAAAAAATATAGATGTACATAAGATGAGGATTTAAATTAAAAAGAAAAAAGATTTTTAAAAAAAGAATTATTATATTATAACATATAATAGGATATGCATCGCCTTTTTTGTTAACAAAAAAACTTAATTATTTTAATAATAATAATAATGGTGGGGAAATATAAAATATAATTAATCATTTAATAATGAATAATCAAAGAAATGGTAACAAGTTTTTAAAAAACGGTTAATAAATCAACAATTAATTAATAATAATAGTCTATAGTTCTCTTTTATACACATGTTTTTGTAGTAACCGTCTCATTTTTTAAAAACTTTCCCGGTGTACTTAAGGAAGCAAATATTGCATCACTTGTGAATTAGATCTCCTTAATCAACGGGTCTTCTCTTTTTTAATGTCGTCGACCCGGAAAATTATGTCACAGATAAAATTCAGGTGAATTTTGCCCATCGGAACTGATACTATGCAATTGTTGTTGACTTGGTCTCGAAATTTGCAATCTTTGCCTTAACAAAACATTTTCTTGTTTCATTCTTTCCAATTCAATTTTCATTTTGCTCAGCTCACTTTGCAACGATCTATTAGTCGTCTCCAAATCTAATCTTTGTTGTACTCTTTTCGTCCTACAATTTTGGGCGTAACCGCGATTCTTCAACGTTCTTCTTTTTTGCTTAATTCTGGTTGCTTCTTCTCTTGGTACACCGTGAAGACGTTTGTTTAATTCTCTTACTGAGATGGATACTAAAAGTTCATCGTTCAAACCGAGATCGTCACTGCATGTGGAATAACCACTATTTCCATTAAGGCGCGGTGACAAAGCACTGCTTCCACTGCAAACTGAATGTGGACGTTGAAGTTGATGAAGTGGTTGATGGTTTTCGATGAACATCCCCGATGGGATGTATCCTCTTCGTTCCCAATCTGGTTCGCCACCCAACGAATGTGGTGGGCGTAAGTCTAAAGGTTGCTCACCGCGATTTCCGGGTGGAAACCAATTTTCTTCGACGTAAATTTGGGGTTCGCTGGGTGAATTGCTTGGTGGTGTATCTGGTGGTGTTGCAGGATTGGTGATCATGTTGATTAAAACCGGTTGTTGGTACATGGAGTCGTTTGGCGGTGAAAGCGGCGGCAACCTCCGATCTTCCTGCCAGGCTCGGTACATCCTGCTGGAGGAGTCTTCCTGTAACCAACCCTCAGATTCAGCCAATCGCCTCGTTTCCTCCCTTTTAACAGTTACCGCGTCTAATTGTTCCAAATCAAAATCGTGCACATACTCTTCAGCCAGATGATGGTCATTGGTATCCATCCTAGCGAATCTCACTCCAAGTTGCTGCATCAAATCGATTTATGATTCTTCGTTTTTTTTTACACTACTTATAATCCGAACCACTCCACACTCTTTAATAATAATAATAATGATTTTAATTTATACAAAAAAGTAAATTTGAATAAGTTCGAAAAAAAATAATATCAGGAAGCTTTCGATACTTCTGTTGTCTTCTCGCGTCGGTGTTAGAATGAGCCGGGGGCCGATGCAGGACAGAGATGTAATTCCTGCGAACCGGGGGCGGCGACACCATCTGTAACGCCTCCCGGTTTGAACACTATAGGCGGTTCGTTCGACTGCGGAACCGTTTGTTTATACCTCGGCGGCCAGTGGTTCGGCAGGAATTCCGTTTTCGAAACTGCGCCGGCACCCGGATCCGTTGCGCAGGATCGCGGGATGTACGCGTTTCGTTTTAATATTTTTATGGGGGGCGATTTCCGAAGTCTCTTCGTTCGAACGGATAGTTAAATAATCCGAAAAGGGGTTTTTCTATGGCGTGGGAAGACATTAAATAAAAATAAACGGTTTTTTTTAAGGTGAACTTTGGTTTTCGGTGAGATTTACGGTACTCATTTAACGATTATTTTTAGAAAACGTTATAGAATTTATTACATTTTTTATTTAGTTATATGAAAATACTTGAAATTATTACAACATTTAAAAAAAAACTTAAGTCTCATGCAAACTGCCAACATGTAGTCATCCAACACCAGTAACCAGTCTTCTGTCTAAAATTTCTAGTCTTTTGCAAACAGAATCTAATCTTCTAATAACAGTATCTAGTCTTCTGCCACCAGTGTATTCTACTATTCTATTAGCTGTATCTAGTGTTCTGTTAATACACTCAGCGGCTTAAAAACACGTCAACTAAAATGATGACCAGCTTCAAACTGCAATAACTTTTGAACGTATGTACCCTGTGCCAATATTTCTGTACATGTCTTCCTCATTTTGGTATATCTTCAATTTCAGCAATGGTGAATAACGCTAAGGATCACTTCTGTTTATTGTTCAAGTTTCTATTGTTGTTAACACCAAAGTTACAAGCTCTAAAAGATACCGCAGCTTGTTAGGCAGCGACATCAGAAATTAAAGCAAGTCACAGATGTCGGTGAAATGTACTGTAATGTATTAAACTGTGACAAGTAAATCAAACAAAATGTTAATAACGGGTATTTCCTCCCCTCTCTTGAATGGTCCTTCGAGAATCCTTCCAGCATATTCCAGTAGTATATAGTCTCATAGTCTCCCTAGCATTTTCCATATGAGTATGGGGTTTAAATCAGGGCTACGTGCATTCTGCTGATATCCAAATCATCCAGGTATTCGGACATTATGCAGGTTGTATGGGAGCGTGCATGATCAAGAAGTTGTCACCAATAAATGTGCCGAACGAAACCACGTGTTCAGCTAAAATTTCTTCAATATTCCGAGCCATGTTTAGCTTACCTTTGATAAAACAAAGCTTTATACGTGCTTCGAAGCAGATTCATCCTCAAACCATTACAGATCATCCCTGGTATTGTATTCTTTCAGAGAAGTTGCACTAAGCATTTCGCTTTCCTGCTTATCTCCAAACTGCGACACGATGTTCTCAACTGTGGGCCAGTTGCTGGTCTCTGCGATCTCAACCCCGCTTCTTCAAATCTCCTTCTAACTGTACGATCATTCACGTTCACCCGACGCACTTGCTCCAGACGAGTTATTATCTCAACTGCTGTGGTATGTCGATTTCGTAACACGGTCGTTACAATATATCGATCATCACGGGGTTGTGTGGTGCGCCTTCTTAATGACACAGATCCAAGAACACGAGCAGCATAACGAGCGCTACAAAACCACTGCCTGAGCAACTTCTGCAAGACTTAAAGGTATTTTTCTTGTCTAGCAACAGTCAACGACGTTAACGGCACTAAACGTTACTGAAATGTTTTCGTCAATTTCCATGGTTTGCTTTAATTTCTTATGGCGCTGCCGAAGAATCTACTTTATCCTTTAGAGCTTGTAGCTTTGGTGTTAACAACAATATAAACTTGAACAAAAAACAGAAGTGACAGAAATCTCCTTATGTTTAAAATTAATATCTTTTGTCGGTGCACCTCACAGCAAGCTTCAAAGTGTAGGAAAAAAACACGCATTAACGTAATTCACCATTGCTGAAATTGGAGAGTGCCAAAATGGGGAAGGCGCCTAAAGAAATATTGGTAATGGGTAGACTTTTCAAATAAATAAAACCCTAGTCAAATCGAGCAATACGTTCAAAAGTTATTGCACTTTGAAACTGGTCATCATTTTAGGTGATGCGTTTTTTATGCCGCTGAGTGTAGTATGTATGTAATCTTCTGTCAAAGCTATTTTAGCCCTGAGTAGAATAACAATTACCTCAGGACTTGTTATGGGTTGTCATCTGACATTGGAGAAAGCCGCAGTGTATAACTGTGTTATACTTCAATGGACAAAAGGACACTCGACTTGTTCAGATAACAAGCACGCTTCGGAAATTCCTTAGGCTGGTTGATATAGCCGGAGAGAGTGCAGGATGATGTACAAGGGGCTCGTTCGGGCCTAGGTGCTGTATGCGGAAGCATACCCTCTCCTTTCCTACATAAATACATACATTTTCTGTCAACGATATCTAGTTTTCTATAAGATATCTATATTCGGCAAGCAGAATTGTATCTTTTTCAAGCAATAGGTAGCCTTTTGCCAACAACATCTGTCTTCCATTAGAAGCGTCTAGTCATGCAATAGCAGTATCTAGTCTTCTGCTATCAGCAACTAGTCTCCCTCCTGCAATAAATAGTGTTTTATAAACAATATCTATTCTTCTGCCAACAATATCTTAGGCTTCCGAAAGATGCCGAAGATAATGTGAAGTCTTTGTTCTACAGTTTCTGTCTTCTGTTAGCAGTATTTAGTTTTTTATTAGCAGTGTGTAGATTTTTGCATGCATCTAAGTAGTCATCTATTAGAAGAACATGGTCCTCAAATATAAATATCACTAAGCATTAAAACCTTAGAACACAACACTAAAAGGACACTGCCATAACCTGCGCCTCGTTACTCAAACACATAGCATCAAAACGAATTTGGGATACAGAGTGTTTGTACCATTGTAATAATAATAAAATAATTTGCCAAAATTTGTATTATAACTAATATTAACTAGTATTTCAAATACAGCTTTTCTTTAAATTAAAATTTAAACGAAAATCCATAAAACTCTAATGAATCGAGGTATTATATTGTAAGTATGGAAAAATACCATAAAACACATAAATTTGAAACCGACTCCTATTTGAAAATATTCTAGACTAGTTTGCACAACTAATATTTCGCCTACGAAGTATTTTTTTTATTCGAAGTCGTTGCCCCGTTTCGAAATGAAAAAGAAGACTTGTTTTTTCAGACCATTAAATTATGTCATAAAAATAAAATTACACAATCAAATAGTTTCATGTTTTAAAATAATAACATCCCCGTTTAATTATTTCTTTTTTTTTTTCTTACAAAGTATTCTGTTATAAACAATACAATAATACATCCGGTTTTATTTATATAATTTGCAAACTCCGAAGAATTCCAATCTTGTAAATTGAACACTGCGCAACTTTGTTGGTTATCAAAAACGGAAAGGAGAAAAATATAGCCATTGACGCGCGTAGAATAGATTTTAATGAATCAAAACGACCAACTCTATCTCAATATAAAATTACACATGGCTGATTAAACAAAATTTTGCGATTAAAGACTAAATATCAGCTTGAAAAACGGAAGACCGCCCAGCTGTCTAGTTTTTTGGACTTTTTGCATCTTGTTCGGGTCAACTTTAAACGTTAATAAATAAACGAAATTAATCAGATTGACGTAAATGAGCAAAAATCCTGAATTGCAATGTCTTCCGTTTAATCAATCGTTTCAAAGTTTAAAATCGATTTTAATCTTTTTTACACATCAACATACTTTAATAAATATTTTGCGAGTTTAAATATAGGTAAAATTTGCTGAAAATTAGATTTTTCAATTTTGCTGAATCGGTTTAATTTACGAGTTGATTGACCCAAGTGTTTACGTGCTCGTTTGAAATTTAACACTGATTATGATATATCCTGATTATATAAAAAAAGATAGCGAAATGGAAATCGCCCATTCTTTTTTCTTATAAGGTGATTTATCTTATTGAGTAAATAAGATTTAAAATTTTAATTCATTAAATTTTAATCGCCAATTTAATTTTGAATTAACTTTTAGACAACGGTTATCTATAAACTATAAACTATAGTATGAGGTGATAACATAGCAACAAGATTCCTTATTTGGCCGCACGTGACGAATAAGATGATTTAGTTCTAATTAAGACTCGAATAATTAAATGCATTTTAGATTATTACATAGTATTAATCTGTAGTATCATAGTCGATGGTTAATTTAACTTTGTTGAGGTCAAAAGCTAACCAATTGATGCAAAAAGAATGTTTTTATACGCGTGTAGCGACATTGAAATGAATTTGGAGGTCAAATTAAGATAAAATTTATGTTTCTTATAAATACATTTTAAAACAATTACAATCAAATAACCTTTTCAAAATTTTTTTTATCATTAAATCCATAGAAATTTAATAATTTAAGATTTCCTATCAAATTGACGCAAAGAATTTTATGTTCCAGAAAGTTCAATATTTAGAGACTCAAGAACTGAATTTCGGTGTCAAATAGTGTCTAGCATTGTCAAGCAATATCCTGGTGGTCTTTTTCAAACAATGACAATGGTGGTCTTCTGCCAACAAAATCTGTCCTCTCTAGTTAGTTTTCTGACGGCAATCTAGGCTTTTGCAAACAGAATCTAGTCATTAAATAGCTATATCTAGTCTTATGTCATTAGTATCTAATCTTCTGTCAACGATATTTAGTTTTTTTCAAACAGTATCTTGTCTTTTGCAAGCAGAATTTTATTTTCTTTAAGTAAATAAATAAGTTATAATTTGATGCAATTCTGATAGAAATATGATGCAGTTTTTGATAAAGTGTTTTTTCTGTACAAACTGACTGGAAAGACTGAAGTGAAATGACTGGAAGCTGTACTCTAATAACAATTTTTGTTTCTGATTTTTATTATTTCATTTTTGGTTTCAATTTAAATCAATTTAGTTTTTTAACAATTTTTAAAACAAACCGTTTTTTTTTTTAATTTTTTGCTTTCGTTTTCTATTCAATTTTTTTTATTATTAACTCTAAAAGCACGGTTCCCGTGAATCTGAAATACGCGAGTGAATCTGGGTAAACAACACGCCGGGAAACAGCACCTCTATTTGCTCACAATTAAAATTTTAAGCATGTTAACCCTTCGCGCAACCTCTAAACCCCGTTCATTTCCCCGCAGCATTTGGTTAGCTCTCATTGTTCGTTCGTTTGGTGAATTTATTCAAAAAGCTTGTAGGAAGTTCATTTTGGCTTTCTCTCTCTCACACAGTTTATTAGTGGGTATGGTTTGGCGGATCAGAAACACTCTTCTCTGTCTGTGGATTATTAGAGACGCTATAATTGGCTTAAGTTAATTATTTGTTCTGCTTTCGCAAACATCGTGTTTAATCGACCAAACGATCCAAATCAAATAGTTGCCGCAGGTCAATTCACTAATCCTGTTAAATAAGCATTATTATTTAAACTATTTAGTACTCTATTCATTTAACTTTTAAGTTAGTTTGAAAAGTTTAAATTTTCTTCATTATTTTGACATTTTAAACGTCACTCATTTTGACATTTCAAACATAATTTATTTTGACACATGTCAAATTTTTTTTTTAATTTGATGCTTTTTAATTTTAAATTAATTTATATATGCGAAAGGGAAGTAAAACTCAACAGGTCTTCTCAATTTCAATAATGAAGGTATTACCGGTATACATTCGAATATAATCCGCATGACAATTCGTCGTCGCTTCGCCCCCTTTTTACCACCACCACCCCTTTGGGACGCGGGGTACGGTTGAAACGGCCTTATAAATAATCGTTGTCATTTTCCGGAGATTATCTAATATGTCAACATGGGACAAACTGTCATTTCCTCGCTGTTAATATCGCAGGATTGTCCCCATCGTGTTGAATTAAAGGAGCAGGACGCGTCCTGTAGGTCCCTGGTGTATTAAATAATAGTCCTTTGGGATCAAAATCATCGATAACTAACTTACCGTTTAAAATTATATTTTATTCATTGAAGGGTATGATATATGTTAAAGAATGTACTTAACCTGACTAAAAAATGAGTACTAAAGAATATAAAGTTTTCAAAATAAAAAAAACACTTACCGAAACACATTGGTTAACACTGCCATTCGTCTTGTTGCTTTTATTGGTTATACAATAATTATTTGTTTAATCTATTTGTAAAATTTTTATGAGTTTAGACGATAACCTATAACATGCAACTTTGTTGCAAAATTATTAATAAACACAATGTATTAATTACTAATATTGAACTAAAATGTATTTTAAATTAATATTTTTTAGTTTTTAATTTAAAAATTTGTATAATTAGAATAAAATCTATAAAATTATTATAAATTAATTTAAACCACTTAAAATTTAGGTTATATATCCGCAGAGACATCTATGATATAAAGTACAATTTTTATTGAGGTAAAATATAGAAACCTGTAATTTTCGTGTATTAAATTTAAGGTTAACAAATTTTAAAAACGATTTTTAGAATATAATTTGAAATTTCTTTCTTCTTATGAAGACAAGATTAAAGACATTTTATACACTTTGTATATGCGAGAAAGTAAAAATAATTATTAAATGAAACATTTTTATATTATTTCTTTTTAGTTTTTATCATTTTCTTATAAAATTAATCCTAACCTTATTTATTTAAACAAAAAAAAGGTAATTAATCCCTAGTTTCTCCTTCTTCATCTTCTTCTTCGGCACCTCTTATAAACAACACATTGTTGCATCTAATTAATACTTCTCCCAAATTTCCTAAAACATGGTTTATTTATCGTTTATATTAATCATTTACAAAGGCAAGAAATGTGGGTTAAAAAAGGATTTACGGAATTACCTGACATGGCCCCATCAATAAATTCTTCTGTATTAGCTAATTGAAGGTTCATGTACCCATCGACTGAAACTAGATAACCTTTATATTCGTGGCCCCACTTCAACTTGACCATAACAGCCTTCCCCGTCAAACTGTTGAGGAAGGGCTTTGGGTTTATTGGCATAGCCGTCGACATTTTTATAATAGGTGATTAATTCGTTATAAATTTTAAAAAACGTGCGTTTTCTTTACGTTTTGGTTTCTAACCTAAAAAGCGGTTTACGTCAAATTATTACTAAGTTGTTTTGGTGTGAATTTAGCAATCAACTACTTTTGTAAAGATGGGTTTTATGAAATAATTGATTTAAATTAATTTTAGTTATTATTTATATTAATTTTTTTTGCAAATTTAAATTAAATCTTTATCAAATGATTTATTTACATATTTCAAAAAAGGGTTATAATTTTTTATAATGAAGTTAGCTCTAAACAAGAATATCCCTATTCTTGAAATTTTCTGAAACGAACTGAAAATTCCACCTATGAACTTATTTTTCTGACCTTTACGCCAATGATATTAGCAACGAGTAAGAAATCTTTTATAAAAGAAAAAAAGCAGAGGTCATACAAAAATATATATTTGTTTTAACTGGTTATAACATAAATGAACATCAACCGAATATTTATTTAAGACAAAGTTACAAGTTGGATTATAAATACTTTAAATAACACCATAAGTACATTTTTCTTTAAAAATCATGTTTGGTAAGAAACACGTGTTTTAAACGCTTAATAATAATCTGGAATTGGAGCGCAAGCAATTTTAACAAAATCTTCGTAACGCACCATACTGTTATTATTAACATTCGCCTCCCTAAAAATTCTGTCCACCTCTTTCGATGAAATACACTCTCCCCATCGTTCTAATAAATGCCTTAAATGTTTTGCATGGATCACTCCTTTTCCATCTGGGTCTCCAGCTTTAAATGCATTCACAACTTCCCTCGGTAGATCCTCCGATCTTGAATGCACGTCCATTACTTCCAAAAAATCAGCAAAAGTCATTTTTCCACCCTTAAAAAAACAAATTCATTACATAATTTGTCTTAACAAAGCGTGACATCATTTGAGTTCAATTTAAAATGTCAAGTTAAAATTACTAATGTGTTCAGTTAAAAAAAATACGCTGTAATATGTGATGGATTTATAGCGGTTTTTTGCATGTTTTTGATTAGAATGAAAGGTTTGTAAATAAATTTTAAGTTACATAAATTATTTATTTTTTGTTGGGAGATTTCGCTAAAAAAAAATTCTCATTTTATTAATTACTTTTCTTTTTAATTATGAATTTTTTTATGATGAAGTTAATTAATAAGATAAATAATTTATTGGTGAAATACCCAAAAAGGAAATCAATAAATTTTTTTAACTTTTTTAGGTTAAGTTTAATTGTCAAATTTTGACAACAAATTCTAACCTTACTTTTTTAATAATTTTTTTTTAATTAAATTGAAACTTATTTTGTATTGATATAACTAATTAAACCAACCTTTTGTTTTAAATATCCAGCCAATTCTGAAATAGTTGGTGATAAACCCAAACTTCTCATTATAACGGTTAGTTCATCGAGAGTTTTAATTTGTCCCGATCTTGCAAATAAATAGAAACATTCTCTAAATTCTAAAAAAAAAAATAAATAAAGATTAAAGGAAATCATATATTTAAATTAGGTCAAAACAAAACTTTACCTACGATATCCTGCTCTTTAAAGTATCGCGCCTATAAAAACAAATTAAAAAAACATTAAATAAATAATCTAATGACTCTTTAATGAGTAACCTTACCATTTTACGTTAGTTTTTCACTAAAAATAACTGCATACGTGTCACTTAGAAACTAGGAATCATCCAAAAACGTCGAGATAACAACAGGTATATCAGGTACACTCAATTAAAATTGAGTACAGTCCTTGTAAAATTGTTTGTAGTTGCGCAAAACCGTTCTTGTTATTTCTTAATTGTTTATTTACACTTTTCATCTTCATCATTTTGTTTTTGTTCTCGTTACGAATCTTTTAAAAGTCGTCTTATCGTTATTTACCACATTAAGATGTAAATAAATTTAGAAGATTAATCGAAAAGTTTTGGCACACTTTGAACTTTGGTCAACGTTTCGGTTGTGGGGGAGAAAAAATGCGTGCACGCTTGTAAATCAACACTTAACATCGAACGAAAACGATAAAGTAATAAACCAGAAGTCTTTTTCAATTCATTCCAGACAATTATTCAGTAATTATGAGGTGATCTTCACTCAAAAAAAAAAAAAAAAATAGAAGAAAACGATAAAATGACTCTTAACCAAACTATCCAAGAATCTCTGGTTCCTCTAACTGGGAAACTTTCCAACACCGATATCGTTGTGACTAGTTTGTGTGCTGGGGCCATAGCTGGTGCTCTAGCTAAAACTACGATAGCACCTTTGGATAGGACAAAAATTAATTTTCAAATCAGGTAATGTAAGTAACGCTTTTTTGTAAATAAAAACTAAAAAGATTAATAAACAAGCATTGAAATTAGTTTTTTCGTTTTAACTCTTATGTAATTATCTAATTTATTTCTTTTTAGTGAAAAACCATACTCAACAAAGAAGGCCTTAAAATTTTTAATACAAACGTTGAAAAATCATGGATTTTTTGCATTGTGGAGAGGAAATAGTGCTACTATGGCTCGAATTGTTCCATACGCTGCTATACAATTTACAGCACACGAACAATGGAAAAGACTTTTAAATGTTGATGCTTCCGGGTAAGTAAAAATTATCTTTTTAAATTCGTGTACAATTTACGATAATGAGAAGATAAAGAAATATTAAAAAAAAAGCAAGTCATTATTTTATTTCATTATTTTAAACATTTCAAGATTGCTTTGAGGTTATGTGTAATTGTCAAAATTTGACAGTTAATATAACCTAATTTTTTTTTAATTTAAAAAAATTATTTCTTTTTGCAGCAAATCTCCTGGGAAACAATTTTTAGCAGGATCTCTTGCTGGAGTAACTTCTCAATCGTTAACTTACCCATTAGATTTAGCAAGGGCTCGAATGGCAGTTACTCCGAAAGATCAATACGCAACACTACGACAAGTTTTTCTAAAAATATATAGACAAGAAGGACTTCTAACGTTTTACCGAGGCATTATTCCAACTTTATTGGGTGTTATTCCATATGCAGGAGTTTCTTTTTATACATATGAGACTTTAAAACGACAATATAAAGGTTTAAAAAATTTTATATTAATTTTTTTTAACTAAAATTTTAATTTTATTTTAGAACACATAGGCCATTTAAATATACCTCAACCAATAACTTCTTTAGGATTTGGTGCAATAGCTGGGATGTTAGGCCAAACAAGTAGTTACCCATTAGATATAGTTAGAAGACGAATGCAAACAGATATGATTAATAAATATCCATCAATATCTGGGACGTTAAAACTGATTTGGTTGTAAGTATCTATTTCTATTTAGTACTTAAAAATGCTTGATGTTAAATATATTTCTTTTATAGCAATGAAGGCTTAAAAAATGGATTATATAAGGGATTGTCAATGAATTGGATTAAAGGTCCTATAGCTGTAGGAATTAGCTTTGCTACATATGATAACATCAGGGATACTTTAAGGACAGTCGTGTTGAAATACAGATAGAAAAATGATTATTTTATTTTCTAATGGTATAAAACAAAGAATTAGGATGGATTGGTCAATTATATAATAGGTTTAATTAATTCTTTTTTAATAATTGTGAATTAGTCTTTTTACACATTCAAGAATTTTTCTCCTATCATGTTTTTATATATTTTTGATTGATTCTATGTAGACATGTAAATATGGTGCAATTTATTTATTTTTTAAATAAACATTGTTATGGATTGTTGTATATTAATAAAAAAATTATATTATTACTACTTATCTCCTGTTTATTTTATATTTTGTCTTTTAATTGACAAATGATTTATAAGAATTAAAGTTATATCAGTGATAACCATTGTGATGTTGTATTAAAAATGTTTAAAAGTTCAGTTGGAAGCAAATAGGAAGTAGTAATAGGAAGTGGTCTATTTGAAGTCACTGAGACAATTTGGGATGTACTATGAGTAATTGAGAAGTACTAAAAGCATGTAAATAATAAGTACATTGCAAATCTAGCTCAAATGTTGACTTTAAACTTAATATTTTGTTAACAAAGTATTGTTTGGAATATGATATGGAGCTGAGAAACTTTTGTTGTAAGTTGAGAAGAAATTTGAAGCACAAAATAACTAAATCCAACTAAATTTGTATTTGAGGTTATTGTTAATCTGTGTTTGAGGTTATCTTATGCAAAATTTTAAGTTTTTTGGACGAACAGCTTCTTAAATGAACTTTTTTATCATCATTTAGTTTCAAATTAGGTTAATATAGAACATTTTTTATTCGAAATGGGTTGAAATTAAAAAAAAAAAATTATTTTGAGGTTATACGAGATGGTTTGAGGTTATATTGTACCAATATTTGGTTTTTACAGGTCGAACAATTTTGGTCAAAGAATTTTATAACTCCCTGCTTGGAATTTTATTAGAATGTAGGCGAAAAAACGAGACATTCTCAATTTTTCAAGCAACCAGATGATTTAGTATATTGCTCAGATTTGCTGGTTTGATTAAGAAGAAAAAGGAATGAGTAGAGGCTAATTAAAGATTAAGGGCCGTTCTCTTACACTATGATAACATTTATTAATCATTGTTTGTTGCTCATTCTGTATAAATAAAGGAAGAATATGAAAATCTTGATATAGTTTAAAAAGAGAACATTCTGTGTAAGAAGTCACGAAAAACGTTCCATTGCCACCTTTACACATAAATTTAGGACTAATAAAACAGTTTGGAAAGTCTTAGCTAAGGAGAAACAATGTTTTAAGTATATTTGCAAGATAATTTTTCATCTGTCAGAAGTAAAATTAGAAGAAATTGTGTTTATTGAGATATAAATGATAAACTTTTTAAACAGTCAGCTTGACAAGACATCAAAGTGATGGAAAGAGCTGTTAGAGAGATTGTTGGTCATTACATGGAGATGTTCATTAAGGGACTCATAGGAGAAAGAGTTATATTACAAGCTTTCAGGAAGCATTTTTACATAATATTTTAATTAAAACTTTCTAAGAATTCAAGAAAAAAATTCTAAGAAATTGATAATGTTTTATTTCAACCCTTAATTTGTTCTTTGTTCCATTTTATTTTCTAGCAAAATCAGTGGAAAATGAAAAATTATTAATAGTAAAAAAAATGTTAAGTAATATTTTTCAGAAAACAATTTTATTTTCAACTAGATAGCTTTCTACAAAAAAATGTTGTCTAGGGATTGATGCAAACTGCTGATATTACAAGTTTGAAAATTTCTAAGAAATCTACAAAAAAAATACCAAGAAATGTATACTAAGCTTAATTATAATAATTTTTTCCTTTTTATTTAGCTGCAAAGAACTAATAATGGTGTTTATAAAAAAAAGTTGTGATTTTTTCTGGAATATTAAAGAAAATTTTTATTTTCAACCAGATCGCTTTCTACGCAGGTGAGTGCGCACAAAGCGATCACGTGATAAGCCATTTACTTGACATGGTGGCTTGACGTTGTGATGTTGGTGTCGTCGCGCGGTCGTCGTAGGTTTTCGTAAAGACCCCGAGGATAAACGTTTGTTCACTGTCTAGTGTGGTGGAAGTTGTTGTGCGTTAGTTTCCGCGGTTTCGAAGCCGTTTAATTTTTCACATGCACAACGTGGGATAAAGATCTCCCGGCCTGCGCCTCACCGTTTAAGTCCACGCCAGAAAGAAAAATAAGATAAACGAATTCAGGTAAAAACCGCGACCCTGTAACAACATGAAAACAAAAAAACCCAATCTTATAAATATATCATTTTTTGTTTGGCCGCTATCACCGCGTAACGCATGCCCTTACGACTACATGACCTTGTAAAAATTTATAATGTTTTTTAATGCGCGTTTACATATTCTCACCTTTAAATATTACTATTTTTTCTTCATTTTGTTTAGGTTAAACGATTCAGAATGGCACTATGGGCCCAGGCACAACAGTTGCCTGAAAATTGTTTACAGCAGATACGGTCTATATATGGGGAACATTTTCCTATTGAGATAAGACATACTTTAGCTGCATGGATTGAAGAAAAATTTTTGTAAGATCCAATTAAAAACTTAAAAAATATTTTTAATAAAAAAATATAACTTTTTTTAGAATTGATACAGAAATTATTGGTGACAATCCCCAACACGAGCAATATGTTGCCAATACAATTACTTCATTGTTCAATGAAATCGAGACGAAAGCTAATTCATTCACTAACCCAGAGTTTTTCTTGACCAGAATTAAATTGAGTGATGCTGCCAGATTCTTGCAGTTACGATACAGGTAAATTTAAGTTTTTAACTTATATGCCCCTTATTTTAAGATTACATGTTTATTTTGAACTTCACACATACATGACTCATATCTGCATCTTGATGATAAGAGGTTATCTTATAGACATATTCATTTTATCAGGATGTAATTACAGGAGATTGTGTTTATTTTATGGGGCGTGTTTTAAGGAAATTGCTTTTTATTTAATTCAACACTTTAAGTATTTATAAAAAAATGATTTTAATCTTAATTTTTTAATATTGTAATTTAATTAAAAGAATTTTGATAGGTTATGTGTCATTTCCCTTTGACAGATTTAACCTCAAAATTAATACAGATCTATGATTCTAGAGTAATAGACTAAATTGTAAAGTTTCTGCAACACAATTAATTCCGATTTTGAATTATGTTGTACATGTTTTATTAATGCAAAAAATAGTTAAAATAATCTATTAAAATTTTGAGGTTAAATTTTTATTTGACAATTTCGAGCGGTTAAAACCGTTGTAACCATGGTAACTACCTCATTGTGCAACATCAAATTCTTGTCCACCCAGGTTCATCGCCTTCCAAGCATTTTAATACATATTTCAGTTAAGCTGCTTCAATTAGTTTTATAAGCTAAGATAAGATTTAGATTACTAAAGTACGCGTAAAAATAGCGTCATTACAATATTTTTTTTTACAAAGATATGAGTTTTTACAACTATATGAGAGGAAAATTTTTGTTGCGTGTTTTATTAGTCATCTTTTTAGTACATAAAATAATTATGTATTGTGTGGGTAATTTTATAATGCAGTTTATTTATTAACATATAAATAATCAAATTGCTATGTCATCAATGTGACTCATAAAATCTGATACGCGGTACTAGCTCTAAAATATGGAACTGTCACAACATTGTAATCTATACAGTGAAGTAGAAGAAATTGAATCTCAAAAGATGAGCTGGGTGGCTGCCATCTAATCCAATTGGGGTTATTTGCATATTATAAGTGATGTGTTGCCACCTTGAGAATATGTGTTCCACTAGATGAAGATTTCTGGGCAAAAATCCAGATGAAAAGCAGACAGAGTTGGCAGTACTTGCAAAAGACCAAATTGTCCTTGATAGAGGACTAAGTCAATACAAGACTGGACCCCCCTTTATGCAAGCTTGAACACTGCTAACTAGATACTGCGTGTGGAAGCCAAGTTTCTTTTTACAGAGGAGTAAACTCTTCTGGCACATGACTAATTACTGTTTGAGAAGGATTAGATACTAGTAGGAGAGTCATTACTAAAGAAGACTAATGCTATATACAGGCTATTTCTAAATTGATGCGAAAGATTTCAAGGGGTGATTTTACAGCAAAAATTAAGAGGGGCTTCATATAACTTTTTGTTCAAAACCACTTCCCCGCCGAGATAGAGCCCTTTAAAATTAGGGAAAAAAAATTGTTTTTATTTAATAAATCCACTATGGAGGAATTTAGAAGAATGAAATTTGGCAGATAACTGTTGCTAATAAAATGACACCTTTTGACGATTTTTGTAATCCTAAAAGGTTATTACAATGGGAAAATCAACCCCTACAATATTTTGCATCAGAACTTTCTAATGCGTCCACATTTTTCTATTTAAAAACTTGATTTAATACTCAACTTTTTTGTCTCTTGGCATTTTCTCTTAAAATTGTTAGTTTAGTTAGAGAAATGAAGTTATGTCAAATTGATCTCAGCATTATTTTATTTTTTTGTGATCAAACTAATTTGTTAGTTGTAAAATATCAAAAGATAAGAAATTTGCAGATTTTTTCCCTTCACTTTAGAGGGCTATAACTTGGAAGAGAAGGAGTTTTGAACAAAAAGTTATATGAAAGACACTCCTTGAAATCTTATTGCTGCATTGCTGTCAAGGCTATATACTACTATATAGCAGCGAAAACACCGTTAATTGGACCCCAACCCGGTTGTGGACTACAAAAAAGCCACCTAAAACAAGTAATCAACAGTTGGGTGGTATCGGAGGTAGCCTTACGCTGGAAAGAACTTCCAGGACACAGATAAGCGAAGAGCATGATTACTCTGTCGCAAAACAAAACCAAAGAGGTTTTATGCCTCAGCTTTTCTGACTGACCATGCGCCCCTAAAATACCACCTCTTTCACATTGCACAAGCTGAGGATCAAACTTTGCAACGACAAATCAGAAACGGCTGAACATATACTGCGTAATTGCGTTGCCAGAGGCCGGCTAAGACACAAAATTTTCGGTACAGCTCTTTTGACACCTGCCAACATAAAAGAACGAGACCTTGGAGCCGGTTCTTTCCGTGAGGAGAGGAGCCGCTCCTCTCACCCTAGCAGCAATAATTATAATAAAATATTATTAATATAGTATCAGATAAAATGCCACAGTTTTAAAAATACGTGTTGTAAAAATAAATCGTTTTCGACTTATATTTCGAAGAAAATCAACAAAAATAAGTATTACATTAGATTTCATAGAAGTCTTAATAGAATTAATAATAATAATAATATATTAATAACTTTTTTTTATCAAAAGAACTGAATAAATAGAATTTAAATTTGATATAAACACAAATTATATAAACATTTTTTGAACACATATTTAAGATGTCTTCTTTTATTTTGTTGATAACACTAATTAATTACTAGATTATCCATATTATTCTGACCTTTAGTATATAAGTTATCTCCAACATAAATCAAATCTAATTCAATTTTTAAACATAGCATTAATTAAAATTCCATGTTACTCATTTTTCAAAAACAATTATACTTGCATTAGTAACATAATAATGTAAGGTAAAATGAGACAATTAAAATTTTTCTTTGAAACGGAGTGCGTACATTTAAATTTGTCATTTTAAATATTCAATTATTTAAAAAAGAAAGGGAGTAATTCAATACAGAAACCTCAATATATTTCCTTTCACTATCAGGTCATTCACCAAAACCACAAAACGAAAAAACCAACGACAAAGAACACTGTGTTAAATTAAAACGGAGTTGATAACGAAAAAAATTAAAAAATTTACTTGGTTTTTTGTGGTTTATTTTTCGAATTAAATAAAATAAATTCAAACTAAAAATATTCGGGTTTAACCGTGTGTCTTTTAAGGCGGCTAAATTTGAAACTTTCTAGTTCTACTGTTAATTCAATAAAAGTATGCAACAAACTGGCACTGAATAACAATTAAAACTAGAACTAACACTAGACCTAGAACTAGAAAGTTTCGGGTTTAGCCGTGCGTCTCTTAAGACAGCTAAACCTGAATGTTTCCAGTTCTAGGTCTAATATTAGTTCTAGTGACAGTGGTACGTGGCATGTTGCACATTTTTATTGAACTAAAACCCGAACCTTTCTNCTAGTTCTAGATCTAGTGTTAGTTCTAGATTTAATTGTTATTTAGATTGTGGTATATTTTTATTTAACGAAAACTAGAATTAACACTAGACCTGGAACTAGAAACGTTCAGGTTTAGCCGTGCGTCTTCAGATTATTTGTAATGATAAAAGTTTACGTGTATAGGTTGAGAGTCACCTGTATATACAACGTCATACAGCTTAAAGTATTAGAAAATAAATTCTTAGAAAATTACAAAACAAATTGCATTCTTTTTGTATTTGTTATGTGAGAATATATCTTATCTTAAAACTTATCGTATTTCAAGTTCAAACCCTATGATGTTATTCAATTACATTCGCCGTTGCTTACAAACTGAAAATCAAATTGTCATGAGAGCTAATGGAGACACGTCTGGCGGGCTTCCGCACATGTTAATGTCAAATTCAGGGGTTGAAATATTACAACAACTAGATGTTTTACGACACAAAACGCAGGTAAATTAATTCCATTAAAAAAAAAGTATTCGATTTAATACTTTTTTAATATTTATTTTAGGAAACTGGCGAAAAAGTACGATCGATGGAAAGCGAACAAGAAGCTTTTGCTTTACATTATCATGAATGTACAAAAATTAACGGTTCGTTTTATTTATTTTTTTTCTTCTTTTAAACAAATACGTTTAATTTAATTATTTTTTTAGCTCAAATTCAAGAACATCAAAGTCAACAACCCGTTTCAAGTCATTTACAACAGCTTCAATTGAGAAAAACCAACATGGAAATGCAATTAAGCGAAAAGGTACTTGTAAACATTTACAAAAAATGACAACATTTACAAATAATTTGTTGATGTAGATTGCACATTTGGTACAAGTTCGAATGGCTTTAATAGACGATTTAAAGAAAACGGTTCAATTACTTTCAAAAGTTCAATCGATGGTATTGGACGATGAATTAATCCGCTGGAAAAGGGAACAACAATTGGCGGGAAACGGCGCAGTTTTTAATGGAAATTTAGATACCATTCAAGAATGGTGCGAATGTTTAGCCGAAAATATTTGGATTACTCGTCAACATTTAAAAGATATTGAAAGATTAAAACAAAAATTGAATTTGGAGTCACCAGGAGGTGCTGATATGCTTCCTCAGTTACTCAGTGAAGTAACACAAATTTTAAGCGCTTTGGTTACATCTACTTTTATTATTGAGAAACAACCACCGCAAGTTATGAAAACAAATACGCGGTAAGTATTTAAAAAATTTAAAAATCCTATAGTTATTATATTTATATTTTTTTTAATAGATTTACATCAACAGTACGTTTATTAGTTGGTGGAAAATTAAATGTAAACATGACTCCCCCTCAAGTAAAAGTCACAATAATATCAGAATCCCAAGCTAACGTTTTATTAAAAAGCGATAAATTAGCGAAAAATGGCGAAGCAAGCGGAGAAATTTTAAACAACACTGGAACTATGGAATATCAACAGGCTAGCAGGCAATTGTCGGTAAGCTTCCGGAATATGCAATTAAAGAAAATAAAACGTGCTGAAAAGAAGGGTACTGAAAGCGTCATGGACGAGAAATTCTCGTTGTTTTTCCAATCGCAATTTAGCGTCGGCGGCGGTGAATTAATGTTCCAAGTGTGGACGTTATCTCTTCCGGTGGTTGTAATTGTTCACGGGAATCAAGAACCGCACGCTTGGGCTACTGTTACGTGGGATAACGCGTTTTCTGAACCCGGACGTCCACCATTTGCCGTTCCGGATAAAGTACCGTGGAATAAAGTCGCAGAAATGTTATCGTTAAAGTTCAGATCGACGACTGGACGATCTCTAAACGAAGATAATTTACGCTTTTTGGCGGATAAAGCTTTCCGCGGTTCGTTTACCGATAATAATCAGCTATTGTCTTGGTCCCAATTTTGTAAAGAACCTCTAAGCGAGAGGAACTTTACATTTTGGGAATGGTTTTATGCTGTTATGAAATTGACAAGGGAACATCTTAAAGGACCTTGGGTTGAAGGGTAATAAAAAATTAATTTTATTTTTTATTATTAATTTATTTTTATTTTTGTTAGGCTTATTTTGGGATTTGTTCGTAAAAAGGATGCTGAAGATATGTTGCAGAGGTTAACATCTGGAACGTTTTTGTTAAGATTTTCTGATAGTGAATTAGGAGGAGTTACTATTGCTTGGGTTTCAGGTAATGATTTTCAAAATAATATCAAAATAAAGTTTGTTAAAGTTCAGTTTTCATTTTGTAGAAAATTCTGAAGTTTTTATGATTCAACCATTCACATCAAAAGATTTTGCGATTCGATCTTTGGCTGATCGGATAAAAGATCTTCAACACCTTAGCTTTTTGCACCCAAACATTTGCAAGGAAACCGCTTTTATGAAATATTATACTCCTGGTAAGTTATTATTACAGAAAAGTATTACCAAAGTATTACATTTAATACATTTTCACTTACACTTCTTTAACTGATTTCATTTGGGTTACTGCTGCTCATTTTATGGGGACCTTGGATATGTCTTGCTCACTATGGCTCTGTGTTAAAATCAAAACTGTGTTCTCGCTTTGATTTTATCATTGGTATAGCAGATATAAGAGTAAAATCCTCAGTCTCTATGAAAAGATTTCTTTCTCTTTGATCAATTGAGCAGTAATGACATTAAAGATTAATGACATTGAAGTTTGAACTTGTCGCTTTAGGCAACGTTCTTAAATTTCCAATTTACCGCTTTACATCAATTTGAAATTATGAATTCGCTTCGAAATCTTGTTTTTGACGTTTTAAATATCTTGGAATTTGACGTTTGACGTTCGAAATGAATGTTTGAATTTAACGATTTAGATGAAACTTTGATTTGAAGTTAAAATTGACAATTTATTCAACAATTTGAACTTGTCGTTTTAGGCAACGTTCTTAAATTTTCAATATGCCGCTTTATGTCAATTTGAAATTATGAATTGATCGCTTCGAAATCTTGTTTTTGACGTTTTAAATATCTTGGAATTTGACGTTTGAGGTTCGAAATAAAAGTTTGAATTTAACGATTTAGATGAAACTTTGATTTGAAGTTAAAAATGACAATTCAACAATTTGAAGTTGTCGCTTTAGGCAACGTTCTAAAATTTCTAATATGTCGCTTTATGTCAATTTGAAATTATGAACTAATCGCTTCGAAATCTTGTTTTGAACGTTTTAAATATCTTAGAATTTGACGTTTAAGGTTCGAAATAAAAGTTTGAATTTAACGATTTATGTAGATGAAACTTTGATTTGAAGTTAAAAATGACAATTCAACAATTTGAACTTGTCGCTTTAGGCAACGTTCTTAAATTTCGAATTTACCGCTTTACATCAATTTGAAATTATGAATTAATCACTTCGAAAGCTTGATTTTGACGTTTTAAATATCTTGGAATTTGACATTTGTGGTTCGAAATAAAAGTTTGAATTTAACGATTTAGATGAAACTTTGATTTGATGTTAAAAATGACAATTCAACAATTTGAACTTGTCGTTTTAGGCAACGTTCTAATATGCCGCTTTATGTCAATTTGAAATTATGAATTGATCGTTTCGAAATCTTGTGTTTGATAGTTTTAGATGAAACTTTGATTTGAAATTAAAAATCACAATAGTTTTTTTGTGTAATTAAAATAATAATATATAGTCCGCGTTAAAAGTAGCCAGACCACTTGTCTAATTTGAAAACGTTGAAAGTTGTCAATTCATTGACAGTTTAGCATAGAAAATACATATTATCAGTCTTATGACTACTTAAAGAAACGTGAAAGGTATGGTTTCTGGGCAACGTTCAACTTTATTTCCTTAAAACCGGGAAATGGGTTGGTTACCGCATCTTAAGTGAGGTTGCTCAGGTTATAGTTAGAATTGGATACTTCAATTGTAGCGCCTCGGGCGCAATCTGCCTTGGCTAAAATCATCTCAGTTGCCAATCAACGATAACGCTTCGTGGCCTTGACACATAAATAATTATTTATCCTTATTTTGATTACTATACATATTACATTTCTTTATTTAACTTTGTTTTTATTTCCATCAGATAATCATCAAGTTTCGTCTACAAATGGTTACGTAAAACCTTCATTAATAACGCAGGTACCTCCCATGTACACTGGATACCAAAACACGCCCCAACACTCTTTTATGCAATCGCCAGATCCTTCTAGGGACACCCCTTCGGTGGTGAGCAGGTAAGATTTTTTTGGTTGTATTTCGATTTTATAGGTGTGTTGTATCTACTAAAAAAATCGATTAAGCAACTTTATTGATTTTGAAGTGTTTTTATTAAATTTTTTCTTTTATTAAAAAGTTTCTTAATTGATTTATAATTTCAGCAATTTGTGATGTGTAAAGTTACTAATTCCACGGGCTGTTTTTTTTATATTTGTCGGGGGAGCTTAATGGGAATCAAATATAGAAAAGAAAAAAATCATTTTGTACATATTGCAGATTGCTATTTTCATATTTATCCCAAATTTCGCAAATTTCAAAAAGTAATTTTACACCGGAATCTTTTTTTTTGGTTCTGCAGGTATGATAGTCCGGGTAGTAATTACTACTAAAAAAAATCTTCAACTTCGTCTCTTTCTCTCATATAAAACTATAAAATACTATGATAAAAAAAAACTTTGGAGTACAGTGCTACAATTAAAGATTTTTCTTTTTTTTGTCTTTTAAATAAGTGATTGTCTCGTCTCATTGTTGTGAACGAGTGCTTGTATTTTTATACGTAAACTTTTTTTTAATTACGTTTATTAAAATTTAAAAAGAAATTGTGTAATGTTTTTACGAAATTTTGGAGATACGTATTTTTATCACTCAGTATTAAAAAAATTTAAATCGAATTAATTTGAATTTAAAGGACAGCAGGGTAAAATAAAACTAAAAAAAATTAATGTGCAATTAAAATAAAATAATAATAAAATAATAACTTTGTTGTAGTAGATGGTGATTAAATAAAAATTAATTTAAATTTTAAATGATCTGTGATTGTGAAGTATTTTGTTTGTTTTAATTTCTTTATTGCACATCACTTTGAGTACTTACATAAATCTTAATTATTATCTAAAAATTCGAATAACAAAATCGAAATTATTATGATAACTTTTTGACTAAGGCATTTAACGTTTAAGATATTTAAAGTTTAAAACATAGTGTTCATAAGTGTTTTACATTTTTTTTTAATTGTGCAAGACTTGAAAATGTTGCTGTGTTGTTGCTGGTTTTTTTTATCGAAAAGTGCTTGTATTAATCAATTTCGATTAATATTAACCAATTATTAATAAAAAAATTATTTGTTGAATTTTAAATGATGAATTTTAATCGAGCTTTAACGTTCAATTGACAAATTTATTTGAAGATTTAATTTTATTAGAATTAAATAAGTGAAACTAAGATAAAAAGATCTTTTTTCACAATTTTATATTTATAATTTTTTTAGACACGTAATAATATATTATCATTATTGTAAATTTTTTTATTTTAAGAATAAACTTTTTTAAATTGAATATATATTTTTTATTTATTACGGTTACTTTAAAAGAGAACAAAAAATTATAAACATATTTTATTTATTTCGTTCGAGGTGCATTAATGGTTTTATTTTACTTGCAATGTTGTCTTGTCTTGCATGAAATCGCCTTTGAGTGTCAAGTTAATATTGATGTTAACCCCCTAAACATGAGCAAATAATGTATACTATATGTTTAAAGACATTCGAAAAATGTGCAATTTGTGTTATATTTGTGTGTGTTTTAAATTGTTTATAGTTGATTTTTTAATAAATATAAACGAAATAAAACAAAATTTTAAAGGGATTGTGCAAATTATAGAACAATATTCGCCCCAAGTCCAAAATCTTGTAATTTCGGTCCGTAATTTGTACCCCCATCTAATTGGTTTGCCTTTTATGAAACGTTTAGATCCATTCTGGCCAAAATATGGCAAAATATAGATACGTCAAGACTGTGAACTTCTTTAAATGGGGCCAGATATATGAATTTCTTTGTTTAAATCTTCAGAAAGGGTGCGAACCTATCATTTTGGTGAATTTTGCGATTGTCATAACAATACAAATTCTGCGTTATGAAGGTAATTTCACATTTTCGATTTGTATCTTTGAAATTGATTGAAATCTTGGTATTCACAAATAAAGTGATGTTGATTTTTGGTACAATTGTTCGTCATGGATCTTGGGTTGGTCTCTGGGTTGGGTCTTCTTACATCTTTTCTGAATTCCCAGACTTATGTTTCGAACTTTTTTGTCCTTCCATTTTTACAATAGCAGCAATTATGTTTGGTACAGCTGTTCGTCTCAATTAGATGTATGGAAACTCTTAACAATAGAATTCCTGAAAATCATCGAATTTCATCTTCAGTTATGTTTCCGGTTCTGTTTCGCAATATTGTATAAGTGTTGCCTACACAGAGAATGCTTCCAGAGGTGTACATTGTTTTTTTGGTCCATTCCATTCTATGTAGTCTGCAAGATTTTGGGTTATATTCCGTTTGGCCCAGTTATATTTTTTCTTTCTCTTATTAAAACGATCTCTTTCATTCTTTTCTAAAAATGACTACAAAGAAAATTCATCTTCACTTTCTCACTCATCTCTTTCATCACGTATATGCAGAACTTTCACTTTTGCCTGTAACTAACTATCTGGTAAGTTGTTTAGAGTGTATTAGTATTTTGTTATTTCGTCTGGAACTTAATCATCAAATTCTTCCAGTATCTCGTTAAGCTAAAAGTCTTTTCCATACTATTCTATATAATTGTACTTGTCATTCAAATCCACGTTCAAACATACTTCAATACAACTAAGCAAACTACAGTCACGCTTTTAACAGGACAGTGGCAATATCTGGGTTAATAATTCAAGATTTAACCGAGGTTGCGTGCAGACAAGGCGTTATAATGGAAGTTCTTAACTATAAAATGCATCAATGTTTCGCCTCGGCCGCAAGCGACCTCGCCTTTGCTTTCTTAATTGGTACAAATCGCAAATATATATTATTAATCACTGGCAAGAAATAAAAGATTATAGCCAAGGTCGCTGAAATCCAAGGCGCTATAATTGAAACTCTTAAAGATAAAACGTAATTGAAGTAGCGCCTTGGCTTTATTATATTACAAAATATTTAAAAAATCAACTATAAACTTTAATATTTTTTGCATCCATCTTTTTACGTTTTAATTTTTAGATACGTTTCGTCTTTTTTGTTTATATTTTTAAATACTATTTTATACTTATAATTTTGATTTTACCGAGCATGCTGCAAACAGACATAGCCAAGACATCTTGCAACAAGTCTTCTTTTTTCATCCATTCGCTTTACTCATACATTAATAAATTTTTTTGTTAATAATAATGTTTTAGTCTCAAAAGAAATGGAATTATTACCTCTTTTTGGTTTTATTTTCTTTTTTTTTTATTTATTTTATTGGTTAGGTCTGTGTTGCAGTATGTTATGTCTTGTTTATGTCTGCTTCAGTTACGCCGGGGATTCCATGATGGGGCCGGCCTCGCAGCCGTCCGTCCACAGTTACGACAGTTATATGCCTGAACTTGAGGAATACCAGGATATGTTTATAACGCCGTAAAGAGAATTTCTCCGATCCCGATCCAACTCTTTAACTTTTATTAAAATATTTTATTTTAAAAGTAAATACTCAGTCCAAAATAACCAAAACTAAAAAAAGACTTTGTGCCATATGTTTTTATTGTGCTTCCTTTTAAACGATTTTAATTAATTGTTAAAAAAAACATTTTTTTCTTTAAATTGATATTGGTTATTTTGAACATGAGTGAAATTGAAGATATGTGTTACCTGAATTGTTCGATATTGTTTAATTGTTGTTCTTTTTCTTGATGGAGTCTAATGCACTTAAAGAGATACGTGCAAATATAAATGTAGAGTAAAAACACATAAATCAACTATTTTCTTTTTAATGTACACCCTCTTACAAAATAACAAAAAAAATTGTTATTAAAAGGGTTTTAAATTTTTATTTTCAATTTTAAATGTTGTTTGAAGTTGCATGTTGAATTGATTGACTGTTTTTATTGGTGTCTTTACTTTTAAAATTTTCTTTATTTTTATTTTAATAAATCTGTGCCATTTTAAAAAAAAAAATAATAATTTTAAAATTGTATACCTGAAAAAACAAAAAAAAAACAAAATCAGTAGTGTAATAAATATATGAATTTGTAAATTAATATAAATTTAAAAATATGAAGAGAAAAGAAGAGATATAATCTAATATATTTTTACTAGATTTGTAGGTTTACTTTATACATAAAATAGAGTTCAAAAAATCGATATTTTTAGACTTGTACTTATCAAAAAAATATTAATTGAATGATAAAAAGGCACGATTTTTTCTGTTTTTATCATTATTATTTGCTCATTGTTTATAATTTTTAACCATGTTATTATTATTTTTCTTTTTCAAGAAATTGTAATTTTAATCATTAGACAATCTTGTTAAGAGATACACAAATGATCTCTATGTGTTACGTTTTGAAAAATTAAATAAACGAAAAATATATTTACAAATTAATAAATAACATTTTGACTTGTCACCGCAATATTAAGTAATAAATTAGTGCAATCACACAGCTTGTTATATTAATAATAAAATTATTTGTTATTAAAAAGTAATAAGCTATTAAAGTCTCATCACAAAATTTTGTAGCAATTTTCTTCTTTTTTATATAGAAAAAAAATTACTGTAATATTCTCTATCATAGTTTTTATTATCATTAATTATATGTAAAATATTTCGGCGTTCGAATCTTTAGAGACTTAATTAGAAAAAAAAAACGTGTATTAGGTCTTATTAGGATTTCGAATGTTTAGAGAGAAAGCTTTCGCTTAAATAGTCAAGTATAAATCGTTTTCTTCTAATATTTTTTTTCTTTTTTATTGTAATATTATAATTGTTTTACCGTTAAAATAAAAAAAAATAAATAAAATAGTTATAAATAAAATTGATTTATTTATTTACACCTTTGTTTATCTAATAATAATATTTTCTTATTATTATAGACTAGATGTATGTATTAGGCTACCGAACATTATACTATGTATATTTGGTTGCCTAACTCTAAAAAAATGGTTTAAACCCAAATCTTCTCATCTTATAGATCATTTGAAGTACTCCTTGGGGGGCTATTTACTAATATTAGTGTGATTTCAGCAAGTAAAATCATTTAACTCTGGCCTTAAGCGAGTTTCAAGACGAAGGAAACCCCATAAAGTTACTGGAACAAATAATTCCAACTTTCAAAATATCTTAACAGGAAAAAACCATTGGGCAAAAAAATTGCAACGAGGCGCCGAAAATCTTGTGTAAGATTTATGTGTTAGGAAAAATATACAAGTTGCCCTCACAACACTCTGGAAGATAGAGATGTCATCACCGATTTATTTAATTCCAAGCTCACTCCACAAACACTTTTCAAGATTAATGAATCACAGTTTAATATGGCAATTCGTAAATAACTGATAAAATGTGATGTTATAAGTCATAAAATTATCTCTTCAATCAATTTGAGCCATTTTGACACACACCAACAAGTTTTTTCTATTTTTTGACATCTTAGAAACACCTTCAAAAAACATTATAGTAAATATCATCGATTCTTTTACCTTGCTTAAGTGTTCTAGAGATATTATTAGTCAATTAAAACCATTTTAATTCACACCAAACAGTTTTATTAATCTTTTAAATTTTCTGGAAAACATCTCCTTTGCTAAAGAATCTCTAAACAAGAGAAATACCAAGATAAATAAGTCGTACTCTTATTGAGGTATAAATCGTAAAAACCCTACTCTCCAATTCTCAACGTGAAGAGAGACGAGGAAAATAGAAGCGAAGTGAGCAACGTTGCCAGATCGTTGGTCGCCCATCTCATTTCAATGGCAAAGATAGATTTGCTAAGCTGTAATGGTTTTAATTGTTATCTTCAATTTAGCTCTTCATCGTGTGATAGCTAAAGGGTCAAAATCCTTGTATTAGCTGTTTGCTATTTATTAATACCATACCAAATGCGTTGCAAAATTTAATGGATATGTTGATTAAAACTTTTAATACTCAAAATAAGAGTTATTATTTGAAAAAATTTATTTCTTTCAATTCGTTAGTTCATTTTTATTCGATCACCCTGTATAACAAAATTTAATAACGAGAACAAACTTTCCCCCCTAATATATTAATTAAAACTAATCGGAACTCAAATACAATTCCAATTTATTTTTGGAATTTCAACAAATTTTCTAATAATATATATATTTATTTACTTAGAGGTAGCAATATTATTAATTTAATAAATCACAACGAAATTAAACTATCTAAAAAAATAATTGGTAATAATCTAGGATGGTAGAATTTAAAATGACTGCTACATCCTTTGTTCTTTTAAAATCCAGAAAATGACGTCAGTATCAGAACCAATACATCATACCAATTAGTTGTTAATAACCCAAATGTTTTTAGTTCTAGCCCTGAATGCCAATTCAAAGTAGAATTAATACTAGGCTTAGATCACACTAGAATGTATCTCAAAAGATACATTCTGGCTTAGTTCTAACACTACACCTAAAACTAGAAACATTTGGGTTTAGCCGCACGTCTCTTAAGACGGCTAAACCCGAATGTTTCTAATTCCGGGCTTAGTGAATCGAAAATTAGTGATTCATAAATATTACGGTAGATAATTAAAGATTGTGTAAAATGAGTCCAAACTCGGCATATTTAGGTGTTATAATACCCAAGATACATCTATTTTTATAAAAACAAGATGGCCGAAAACAAAACACTAATAAATTGTGTCATTTATGCATATAATCGTCAATTTAATGATAAATATAGGGTGTGATACATCAAATTAGGTTAGAATTTTCTGATCTTTACAAAACTCTTATTCTTTTCGATTTTTATGAAAAGTTAAATAAATTATGTTGTTTTATTAAAAAAAATTAAAAATTTTCAATCTTTATGAACAATTTTTTGCAATGAATGTAAACGGCGACGTATTTTGTTATAAAACATTCTGAGATATTTTGACTTTTAATTTTTTATAAAATCCAAGATGGCCGAAAATTGGTGATTCGTAAATATTACGATAGATAACTAAAAAACGTGTAAAATGAGTACAAACTCGACATATCCAAATGGTATAACACCAGAGATATCTTTGTTTCTGTAAAATCAAGATGGCCGAAAACAAAACACTAAGCAATTATGGTTTTATGCTTTTAAAAGTGAACTTTATGATAGATATAGAGTGTGATACATCAAATTAGGTTAAAATTTCCTGATCTTTATGAAAATCTTAGGGATTTTTAATAATTTTTGAATTTTTAAATCGATTACGATTCGCACGCGTGTTAGTTCAATAAAACAATAATATACAATAATATAGCACTGAATCAAATTTAAAATTAGAACTAACACTAGACCTAGAACTAGAAAGTTTCGGGTTTAGTCGTCTTAAGAGAAGTGCGGCTATACCCGGTTTAGTGTAAGTTCTAGCAGCAAAACTAACACTAAACCTGGAACTAGAAACATTCGGGTTGGGTTACGGTAAAGTTTATTGTAATCAGTGAACATTTCTGCGTATCACATGTTAATTTGGATATTGACGAAAAAAAAATCAAATTTGAACTGGTGGTAAACCGATGTGCTCTTAATGTGGAGCATATTTTATTTTTGTCGATATTCCATATACAGTGTGTCTCGGATAGGTGAAACGACTCTTATAAAATATAAATTTGTTTCTATATTAATTGTCATCTTTTGGGGTTCAGCCCTGCTTGGTTAAAGACTAATTATGAGCATATTTTCAAATTTTAAAAAACAAGGGTGTGTTGACACTGAAGCGAAAACTTCTTGTGTGTCAGGTATAGTACCTTTTCTATTAATGTTACTAAGATATTCTATTCAGAATGAAATGTTATGGCCATATACAAATTTTCGGAATCATCGACCTATTTTGATAAATTGTTTATTATTTTTGTCAATAGTACTTTATTAGGATTTTTTGTTTTGGGATTCAAATTATTCGGGAGAAATAAACAAACCGTTCTTGAAATGTTCGCAAAAAATTAAGTGTGTGTTCGCCCACAAAAGAAAACAGTTAATCAGTTTCATCATAATTTTTTTTTCTTAGAGTGAATACTTTCCGCTGTAAGAAATCTTTTGATTAAACGCCAAGTACTTCTTTTAATTCCAGTATTTGGAAATTTTTCACTAAATAAAGCAATAACCATATTTATCGGGTTTTCCCCGGTTCCATAACACTGAATCACGTCAACTTTTTCCTCTAATGTTAACATTGTACTTAAAAAAACAGTTTTAGGCCCACTTTTACCATCTTCCTGATAAACTATCTAGAGGATAGTTGCCATGGTTACGGCGGTTTTAAGCGCTCTCATTGGCTAAGAACTGGATTTATCTATCGGATAAATTTATCAGGAGGTGGTAAAAGTGGGCCTAAGTTTACTAAATTACAGTTTGACAGATTAACAGTGACAGGAAAGCAATTTTGTTTTTTCATGACAGTCTTTGTTAAAAACAAAATTGTTTGATGTGGATTTTTTCAAAGTAGGCCGATCATTCCAAAAATTTGCATATGGCCATAGTTTTTCATTCTGAACAAAACTTTTTAGTAACACTTTCACGTACTGTAAACAGAAAAGGTACTTTACCTGCCACAAAAAGCGTTTTTCTTTAACTGTCAAGGCTCACTTCTTTTTCAAAAGTTGAAAATATGTTCAAAATTAGTCTTTAATCAAGCAGGGCTAAACCACAAAAAATGACAATTAATATCTAAAAAATTTACCTTTTATAAGAGTCATTTCACCTATCCGGGGACACACTGTAGTTTCGCGGAAAATTACGGTTATTTCGAAAACGACCTGGCGGATTTCAACGCAGTTTTTACCAAAATATGTCAAATAATATCGGTTGTCGGTCGTCATAATTTTTTAAGAGAAATTTAATGGACTTCTTGTTTCTCTTTAATTTGTAATTCCATTAAATCGCTCTTAAAAAATTAGGGAAGTCTAATTTTGAAAAACTGATAACGAAATCCGACAAACGACATTATTTAGCATATTTTGGTCAAATCCGCGAGGAAATCCACCCAGCCGTTTTCGACATAACGGCGTCTTACTAAACCGTGATTTTCCGCGAAATTGTATGGAATATCGTAAAAATAAAATATGTCACTCGTTAAGAACACATCAGACTACCACCTGTTCAAAATTCAAATTTTTTCGTACGATAGTTTTCGAGAAAAAAAATCGCAAAGTTGATAAAGTTGCAAAGTTTTTTCATTTCACTCGCTATAAAAAGAAAACCATGGATCCAAACATTCTGAAATTAACATATGTTACGTAGAAATGTTCAGTGATTACAACAAACTTTGTCGCAATTTTTTTTATCGAACGTTTGCGAAGATATCGATCTCTAAAGTGAGGGGCCTGACTTTTTGCACGGAGAGTAGGCATTTGCTAATTCAAAGTGTGAAATAGAAGTTGCCTACCCATGCGTGACGTCACGAACGGGTCATCAAGCTGTTCTTGGGATGTAGTTCTCTTAGATTCTACCGTCCTTGAATAATAATAAAATAAAAGAATAAAACTTAACAACAGTTATAATATAGTAATTAAATATTTAAATATGCCAAATTGAAAAAGTTAAAAAATAAAATAAATATCACTTAAAACATTTTCTTTTTGTTTCCAACAAATTAACACAAAAATACACATTCACACACAGAGATCGATATCACCATCTAATATACTTTTTATATTCATCATTAACAGATACACGTTTAATCGTTTCGTAACCAAGAATTATACTAAAGCTAAACGTAGCTGATTGTATGAGTCTTGCACTCAAACCTTTCGAAAACATTCTGAACCCCTCTTCGTGCCATAAATCCGACAAAGCACTTCGCATCGAACCTAAACGTTGCACTTGAAGACGAGCACGCACCACATCTAACGGATTTGTTATTATTGTTGTTGTAAAACCACCCAAAGTACCAGCAACCGTTTGAATTAATAAATGGGACACCCATGTGGGTAATATTGCATATAATTCATCTAAAAAATTAATTAAAATGATTGCTTCCTTCTTAATCCTTTTATTACCTTGATATAAATGATAAAAACCCCACCAAAGGGCTGAATTTGGGACGTAAGCGGCTAAACTGGCGACATAACCTCGATAAAATCCGCTGAATCCATCCACGCGAAATATTTGTTTAACCAACTCGATTGTTATTGTAAATTTACCTTGACCTACGTCTTTTATACCCAACGTGTTTAAAGCCATCTGAGCCAATTAGATAAATAAATAGATAATTGGCAAATTTTCAATGACAGGAACAATAAATAAATTAAAAACAAACTTAAAAACTTACATATACTAACCTTGTCACCTTTACTACTAATTCCCATCATCATTAAATGTTGGCTTAAAACATCGAAAGGTACGATAATGGTTTGACCCACCATTGAAGCTACACCTCCAGCAATAAGAGCTCTTACTCGTGAATCAACATGTTTTTGAGCCAATAAATGACGTACTCCTTCATAAGTTGAAATATAAAACACACCTACAAAAAAATAATAATCAATATTCACTCATAAAAGAATCAATTTGATTTACCGCTAACTATTTGTACTGATGATACCCAAAATCCTCTATATAATCCTGCAAAACCCTCGTAACGTAAAATCTTACCGTAAGCATCAAACATGCCTAAGGAAAAAAATAAAATGTAACCTCAAAATAATTAAATTATCTACTTACCGGAATAAACAACATTATGTTTCTGTATTTGAAGTCGCGTTTTGATTAAACTCAAAGGATACAAAGCGCAACGTACCGAAAATGAGCTCAACATAGATAATGGGAAGAACTTGGTTTTGTCCATCATATCCCATTCTATGTTTTTGATGAATTGTGGCGGTGGGGACTCAACAATCGTCGACATCATAATAAAATTAAACGGGGGACCAACGCAACGAATCGAAGGGTATTGAAGGGACGAAGAAAGTACTCGTTTTTTAATTAAAGGTTAATGTTTACATCTTCCGTCTTACGGAACATACCTACAATTGACGTTTATTATTATTACTTTTTTTCGCTCGCTTAATCGGTTCCTTTTTTTGCGATTAATCGTTCCAATAAGTTTACTGTAAATTTTCGTTACGTCATTTTTCACATGTGTTTATTGCAATTTCGACATGTTTATCTGTCTTTGAAGATTTTTTGAATAACTATGGACTTTGACATTGACACAAGGGAGACAATAGTGTTGCCAACATACCACAAATCTTATTATATTTTAATTTTACATTTTTATGTTATTATTATGTTAAATGCATATTCATAATTATTTAATCGTCGGATTTTAATTATGTTGTATTTAGTTATTAAAATAAAAAATTGCGATTTATGTATAAAATTTTAAATTTATGCTGTAATATAAGTTGCATATCCAACCTTTAAAATTATTTGATCATTATTTATAAATATTACAAGAAATACTTTTGGTTGTTATTCAAAACTATTTAATATTTTCATTTACTTCAAAAAAAATCATTTTGAATTATAAAATAAACCTACTCTCCACCTTAAGCAGCTGCTTCACCCTCTGCTGGAGCTTCTGCTGGGGCTTCACCTTCCGGTGGAGCTTCCGCAGGAGCCTCTCCTTCTGCTGGAGCTTCTGCGGGTGCTTCACCCTCAGCTGGAGCTTCCGCTGGGGCTTCACCCTCTGCTGGAGCAGCTTCAGGTGCAGCTTCGGAAGGTTCAGGAGCTGCTGCACCGTCTCCCTCGGTTGTAGGTGGTTCTGTTGTAGCCGTTTCAGGTTTTTCACTTAAATCTTGCGCTTGAACTTGTACCTCTTCACTTGCTGGTTCAGCTGGGCTTGGTGGAGCCGCTGTTGGTTCAGCAGGAGCATCTGCAGGTTTATCTTTAGCTGCTTCTGAAGCTTTTTCGGTGGCTTTATCTTTCGCGTCTTTCTTCGAACCAACCGGAACGAACAATCTGTATTCAGAGGGCATTTCATCTTCGCTATAAAGACGATCGGCGAAATATATCCTTCGGATGCGAACGTTTGCGTGAACTTGAATGCGCATCGTTTCCAAGTAAAGAGTACCATAAGCTCGGCGAGTGAAATCGGCCAAATTAAATTGGATTTGATTCCAACCACAACTTAATCCAATTGGCATCGTCGTGCAAAAAGGACGAACTTTCGTCGTCGACTGAAAATTTGACACTCTAAATCTTCGATGCATATCCTTATCATCTGTTAATTAATAGATATATGGATTTAAATTGAAAAAAAAGAAATAAATGGTATTAAATAATAAATAAACCTAAGATTTGTATCTCAAAACTGAAATATTTCTTCATGTTTTTGACGATCATTACTAAAAATGGTAATCTGATCGCAAGTGAGGCTCTTGGTTTTATCGGGCATGTTATGTAAGTTGTTGCAACGTTGGTTCCTGATATTTCTAGAACTAGAGATTTGACTTCATCGTCGACTACACGTCTGATGTGACCATTTTTTACCTGAAATAAAAATGTTCTTAAATCTCATTCATTGGTAAAAAGAAGTATTAATGGGCGCATTGAGAGAAAAATGTCTCCCGGCATACACCATCCGGAATACTAAAAGGTAGAAAATGCTCCTTTTGCATTATTAAAGTCGTCTATTCCCCCGAAAAAGATCGATACCAGACCGTATTCCCCAAATTTTTCACCCTCACCTCTTCAACCGAAATCAAATATTTATTATAATCATTTTTTTAACGTTTTCAACACTTTATATTTTATACTTTATTAGAAACTAGAAAATTAGTCTCGTAAGTTGGAGTAAAACCTCGATACAAGGGAATTTGTTAGAACGATCTTCGGATATAACATTTTTCATTGAACTAAAACTAGAACTAACACTAGATCTAGAACTGGAAAGTTTCGGGTTTAGCCGTGCGTCTTCAGACGCACTTCTACGAGACGTTTTAATTATTACTCAGCATTGATTAACTTAACACAACGGTATAGATAGCTGCCAGACGTTGTGTTGATTCAAATGATTCAATTAACAGACTTTTGGCTATAACAAACACTTTCTCGCCCATATTAATCCCTTATATCGAGATTTTACTGTATTTGACTTTTATTTGAAAAACTTACTTGTTTGTCCCAAATATTTAATGGACTAGAGCCGATACTATAAAAAACCGTGATAAAACCACTTTGGAATGCGTTCGCAAACATTCCGCACAACCCAAAAAGATTGATATATTTTTTTGATGGGTGTCAATTTGTTTAAAATTTGATTTAAATTAAATTCTTGTCAAATTATATAATCAGTTTATTAATTCACTATTCTTACATGATTTAAATAAATCTAACTATCCATAATTTTCATTAATCTTCGTTCCTCTTTATCGGTGAATGTAATTTTTTCTTCTGCACTTGGTTTCGAAAAAATGTACTGGCAAAATTCTCTGTGAAGTCTAACGCCGTCTAAAGCTAAAGCTTGAAGCATTTCTTGAGCGGCCACTTCGCTAATGAACTGTCTTCTTTGCTCTTTACGAGCGTTTAAATATCTTATTCGACAAACAACCCTACTAAGATAAAAATAAAGATTAAATTGAATGTTAAAGGAAAAATGCTTACTATGCAAGAGTTAAATGAGTGTAACTAGCAAAAATGCTTGAATCCGATTTGGTCATTTTAAAATACGTCTTTTTCTTCTTCTTCTCCCCACCCATAGATGATGGTCTGCCTGAAAGCTCCAGTTGCGACATTATTAAATGTTGTAAGTTAGAAGCGAACGGTTTTTCAACAACTGATAAATTTTGACTTAGAGAATTTTATTTGGTCGGTACGTTGCTAAGTAACCCACGAAATATTTCATTGTCAGCCAAATAACATCGCGTTACATAAAAGAATACTACGAAATTAGATACAGACTAATCGATGGAATAGTTGGAATTCTTTTTCGCAAATTAGTTGAGGGGGAATTTCGAAATTTTTTCTTCATTAAATATTTGTTTTATTTTCTATATTTAATAATAGCTAAGACGACCCTAAAAGATTTAAAAATTAGAAATAGTTAATATATTAATATAAATTGTTATTCCAGTTTTGGGTTTGATTCCCCCTCTGCTCCGTAACCCCTCTCTTACGAAATGTCGTGTTGTTTTGGGATTTCTCTCCGGCCATACATCGCTTTCCTCGTACTATGTGCGGTCGACTGTGAGTCATTTTCTTTTAGTTGTCATCTTGCGAAGGATTAACTGTTAGCAATAGTGAGTTACGCAATTGTAGGGAGGCTCTTGTAGCAGGTTCTCATTAATAAGGTAGATTAAACCTCAACATTAGTATCAAAGTCAACATTCTCGCTTTCTTCTCCGTCAACACGATGTTTAGAAAAGCGTTGCTTTAATGCGATGTGTTCTCCTCTTCTACTGTTTTTGTGGCATTAGTTTTTTACTTCAGTTGCTTCAATTAATCCATAATTGTCTGCCATCTGTTAAATTTAAAGAAAATGTGTTTGGTATTGTCTAGAAGAGATCGTTCAACATGCCTATATAGTGTAGGTATTTTTGGAAATGTCTGTGTCCCGAGAGGAATTTGAATCAATTTGGCTAAATGTCATAAATTTAATAAGAATTGGAAGATGTCAAAACGAAGGAAAAACGAAGAAAAAGAGAGGAGTATTCAATATGAATTAAAAAAAAATTCGTATTCAAATAGGCGTTTGGCCAAACTATAAACCAATATATGTGGCTGAAGTTAGATTCATATTCGAATCTGTACCAGATTCAGATTCATAAAATTACAGTTGACCAGACAAGTATTGAACATATCAATTGAAAAATAGTTTTCTGAAATTACAGAAGTTGTAATTAGAGTAGACACTCTAGTATGTTCCCTGTCTATCCTCACCCTCAGATTTGCCGCAGGGACCGAGCGGTTCCTCGTTTTCAATAGCATACTTAGATATTATTATTTATCAATAACTAGAGACTGCAGCACCCTGGGACTAGTTCAGATTATTGCATTAGGTCCTCTGGTATCCTCCTAGCCCATCAGCACCCCCAGATTTGCCGTAGGGGCCGAAGGGTGAATTTTTCAAAATTCCTCGTTTTCAATATCAAATGTAAACATTATTTTCTCAATAATTAGAGACTGCAGCACCCTGATACTAGTCTAGATTATTGCATTAGGTCCTCTGGTATCTTTCTAGCCCACCAGCACCCCCAGATTTGCCGTAGGGGCCGAGGGGTGAATTTTTTAATATTACTCGTTTTCAATATCAAATTTAAACTTTATTTTCTCAATAACTAGAGACTGCAGCACCCT